CAATAAAAGAGAAAATAATCACATTAAAGATCAGCATGCCAGGCTGGTGTGGATCAGTGTTGAGTGTGGACCTATGAACCAGGAGGTCATGGTTTAATTCCTGGTCAGGGCACATGCCCAGGTTGCAGCTAGTGTGCAGGAGGCAGCCAATCAATGATTCTCTCTCATCACTGATGTTTCTATTTCTCCCTCTCCCTTCCTCTCTGATATCAATAAAAAATATATTTCAAAACAAAGGATAACAGGAAATATGAAAATATTGTCACACCAGGAAACACTGAATGATTAAATAAAACTTTAATGGTGAAATGAGGTAACAGATTTTTAAGAAATAGATTACACCAAAACCGGTTTGGCTCAGTGGATAGAGTGACGGTCTGTGGACTGAAGGGTCCCGGGTTTGATTCCAGTCAAGGGCATGTACCTTAGTTGTGGGCACATCCCCAGAAGGGGGCGTGCAGGAGGCAGCTGATCGATGTTTCTAGCTCTCTATCCCTCTCCCTTCCTCTCTGTGAAAAATCAATAAAATATATTTTAAAAATTAAGAAATAGATTACTACACCATCAAGATCTGAAGTGTGCATGTGAGTCTTGATAAATTTCCAGGAAAGAAAAATGCCAGGAGACGGAGAGAGCACAGGTCACTTGGACTCTGGTGAGACCAGGAAAGCGGGCAGGTGGACAGCACATGGGTAGGAGGTGAGAGAGGAGTGATTTAGGAATCGAGAAGGGGAGGAAGTGATGCTGGCATTCACACCCAAATCAATCAAGCATGTTCCCAGACATTCAGGTGTGCCAAGCTGTAAGACTGCAAATATAATGCCTGAAAATCACTTTGTATTCAAGTAATACGAAAGCTAGCAAACTGTATTTTCCAAAACAGGCTCTCTGTAAACACTTATCCGTGTGCTTGTCTTACATTGTGGCTGCAGTAGAGCCTCAGTCCCCCCTCTGAGGTCTGGGCAGGTCTTTTTTTTTTTTTTTTTTTTTTTGTGTGTCTTTACAGAGAGGAAGAGAGAAGGATAGAAAGATAGAAACATCGTTCAGCTGCCTCTTGCACACCCCCTACTGGGGATGTGCCCGCAACCAAGGTACATGCCCCTGACCGGAATCGAACCCAGGACCTTTCAGTCCGCAGGCAGACGCTCTAGCCACTGAGCCAAACCGGTTTGGCATCTGGGCAGGTCTTGTGACTGTCTGAGCCAGTGGAGTGATGGCAGAGAGGACCCAAACCCCACGTTTAGATTTGTGTCTGGTATGCACTGTCTCATTAGATTCTCAGAGAAACCTTGAGACAAGTACTACTGTTACCCTCCACTTTACAGATGAGAACACTGAGGCTGAGCATATTTACCCCAAATCACACAGCTTCAAGCAGCAAGGTAGGAATCTTAACCCAAGAAAACTAAATGCCAACAAGGGTGAACAAGTAAATTCTGTTCTAGCCATACAGTGGAATTTGCTTAAAGCATATTTTGGAATGAGTGCTAGTATTATATGAGGAAAGACTGAAATGGAATGGCAGCATTGTTTCTCTCCAGATAACAGGATTAATGTGATGTTCTCTGTATTCCTCCGTGTTTTCTCATTTTTCTCCCTAGAGCATGTATCATAAAAATAAGACTTTAAAAAAGTAAATCTCTTCCATTCTGTGTTCCCAAACGGGTTGTACTTGGACAGCTCCTGGCGCCCTCTGCTCTGTTTTGCTTGCTTGAGGTGTCTCCGCTCCTTGGGAGCAGAGCCACCCAGGGATGCTCCACCGCCAGCTCCTCACTCCGGGGCCAGAGGAAGGTGCTGGGACCAGAAGGATGTCCCAGAGGGTGGAGGCCTCCGGGCACCTAACAACCCAACACCCATTCCTTGCTACTGCTTTATTAAGAAATCCTTGTCTTCTCTACATACCCTGTTATTATAAATTTCCTTAAGTAGCCTTCTGTATGATTTTTTTTAATTCCTTTTTTTTTAAAGGAAGGAAGGGGAGGGATGGAAACGAGCCAGCCAGCCTCTGGTTATCGCTACAAATTCATCCAAAAGTCCCCTCTAGCAGGAGCCTCCCAAGACCCTGGGCCGGAGCAAGCAGCCCGTGGTTTAGTGCCTCTGGGTGGGCTCATGGTGCCCAGTTTCTCTGCTCCCTAAGCTTTTTTTTTTTTTTTTTTTTTTTTTTTTTTGACTTTTTACAGAGGAAGGGAGAGGGATAGAAGAGTTAGAAAATCTATCAGCTGCCTCCTGCACACTGAAATATGGTAGCAATCATACTTGGGTAAAAACTGCTGTTTGAATTTTAACCTTGCTATCTGACTTCGACTTTGATTACTTACTTAAACAATAGGGTAGTTACAGGAGATTGACTCCCACTGACTCCATAGCTTCAGGGGTAGAAACTATAGATAACCTTTAGAGATTTACCTCTGAGTTCTGCTTTTGTATTATGGGCAAGATAGGGCCACATTCCAATGTTCCCAGCCTTTAGAATTTAGAACAAAGGGAACTCCTGTGGTTTGAAGCTTTAAAAGGGATTACCCACACGTGGATCGGTGCGGTCGGTCAGTCAGTCGTGTGGAGCTCACCTGCCTGTGATGCTCCCGTGGCCGTCCTGACCAGTTTTTCAATAAATCCTTGCCTGCTTTTTTTAAATCAATCTTCAGCCTCCGGTGGTCTTATTTTGAACCCAGGGTTCGACCACACAACACACAGCTCCTACTGGGGATGTGCCCGCAACCAAGGTACATGCCCTCGACCAGAACTGAACCTGGGCCTTTCAGTCTGCAGGCCGATGCTCTATCCACGGAGCCACACAGGTGAGCGCCCCGCAGAGCTACTTCATAGCAAGTGTTACTGTTTATCCTTGATCTCTGGCACCTGCTCAGACATTGTAAACACTGATATTTACTGAATTAACAAATGAATTTGACGTTGCTTTACAACTAGAACTCAAAAACAGGCTCCGTGCCCAGGCTGGCCAGGTCCCCACTCCTCATCCCTGGAGGTTGGGGGGCACAAAGGGAGGTGGCCAGAGGAAAGCTTTGGGAGTCCAACAATAGGCAGCACAGGAGTTCCCTCCTGCCCCTCCTGCCCATTCCCAGCAGGATTCCAGTTCTGCTAGCTCAGCGCCGCCCGCCCCGCCCGCCCCGCCCAGGAAGGCCGGCCTGGCAGCCGGTGCTGGGGGCAGGGACCCAGCTTCCTGCCAGTCCAGCCCCTGCTTCCGCGTCCTCCCCAGGGCCAGACAGCCGCGCTCCTTATCAGTGGCCCGGGCAGAGGGAGGCTGTCAGTGCCAGAGGCCAGGGTGTATCTGCTCACTGCTTCCCGCAGGCCCCTCAGCGGGCGTCTCCCCAGAGAACGTGGAGGCCGGGGCTGCCGGAGCAGGAAGCAGTGAGCTTGAGGACCGGAGGGAACACAAGCCCGGTCCGCACCACCGCCCACCCGCACCTTCAAACCTGAGGCGCGGGTGGTGGCCACTGCTGTGTCCACAGCGCAGGTGCCCCGGGGGTCCTCTCCCCGGTGACACCCATGGGAGAAGTCCAGCCCCTTCAGAGGGGAGTGGGAGGAAGGGTGCGATGGGTCTCTGCGGTGTGCCTCTTTGTGTGAGAAAGGGAGAAGCGAACACACATGTGTGCACACGTGTACTGTGTGACAATGTGGGTGAGCATATGTACCCCAAACTCGGCGCCCCTGGGACTCGGCGCCCTGAGGCGGTGACCGTCCACGCGGAGCAGCGGGGGCAGCCGCTCTGGCCACCGGGAGCCCGGAGCGACGGGGCGCCCGCGGGGAGGCACAACCCGGCCCGGAGCGGGTGCCACGACCACCCAGACGGCCGCGCCGGGCGGAGGGCAGCACCAGCCGGGCCGGTCCCCTTCTCCCTGCGGAGGAGCCCCCTCCCCTTCCCGGAGCTCTTCGCGGAGCAGCGGCGCCTCCTCAGGAACCCGGGGTCCCACCGCCGGGGAGGCCCGGCCCAATGCCCTGCCTTCCGGGCGGGCAGCGGGCGGAGCCCCCGGCGGGCAGCGATCCGACCGGCACCCAGCGGGCTCCCCGGGCTCCCCGGCCAGCGGCTCCCCGGCCAGCGGGCTCCCCGGGCTCCTCGGCCACCCCGGCCAGAGGGCTCCGCGGGCTCCCCGGGCTCCCCGGCCAGCGGCTCCCCGGCCAGCGGGCTCCCCGGGCTCCTCGGCCACCCCGGCCAGAGGGCTCCCCGGCCAGCGGGCTCCCCGGGCTCCCCGGCCAGCGGGCTCCCCGGCCAGCGGGCTCCCCGGGCTCCCCGGCCAGCGGGCTCCCCGGGCTCCCCGGCCAGCGGGCTCCCCGGGCTCCCCGGCCAGCGGGCTCCCCGGGCTCCCCGGCCAGCGGCTCCCCGGCCAGCGGGCTCCCCGGCCAGCGGCTCCCCGGGCACCCCGGCCAGAGGGCTCCCCAGGGTCCCCGGGCTCCCCGACCAGCGGCTCCCCGGGCTCCCCGGCCAGCGGGCTCCCCGGCCAGCGGCTCGCGGTCGCTCGGGCCGAGGTGCGACGGCGGGACCGGCGGGAGAAGCGCGGGGCCCGGAGCGCCCGCCGCCGTGCGGGCTCCGGCCCAGGTCCTCCCGGAGCAGCTGGGGAAGCAGTTTCGGGAGAAAACCCAGGTTTGTTCCACTTCCTTTCGGCCCCGCACGCCGCCGGCCGAGCCCGGGGCCAGGGGCCCTCCGGCCGCCGCCCAGGAGTCCTGGGGTCCCTTCGGGAGCGGGGCTCGCGGCTGCGGGTCGGGTTGCGGGCTCTTCCCGGGGCACGTGGAGGCAGGACCCTCACCTGGGTCAGGACAGGAAGGGGACCCGACCCCCCCAGCCTCCCCACTGGCGAGTGTCCGGGAGCGGAGCCGACCGCGCCGCGCGGAGGGCGGAGGGCGGGGCGCGCCGGGCGGGGACAAGGCCGCGGAGGGTGAGGCCGGCAGGTTCGGGCCCGTCCGGCCGCGGGCAGGGCCGTGGGGGCGGCGCGCTCCCACCTGGGACCCAGCCCACCGGCCCTTCCCGGAATTCGGGAACTTACACAGGAGCACGGACGCGAAGAGAAGTAACTCTTTCCTCCCGACTTTGGCCTTCGAATCCATCACGATCAGGATCCCGACGCGAAAGCGGCCGCCGAGCCCGGGACAGACCCAGCCGCGCGCCCAGCTTGGCCCGGGTCCCGCCGCGGCCCGGCCCCCAAAAGCCCGATTGGCCGGGGCCACGCCCCTGCGCCTTGCGATTGGCAGAGGCAGCCGCCGCTCCGCTGAGTGACTCGCCGCCGCCAGGTGCAGTCCCGCCCGCGACCACACCCCGGAGGCGGGGCGCCCCCAGCCCGGCGCGCCGATTGGCCGGGAGCCTGGCGCAGGGAGACCCGGCCCCACCTTCCTCAGGTGCGCACCTGCCTGCGCGGCCCCGGAAGTGAGGTCTCTGGCTGGCCGGGTGCCTGCTGGCGCCGCGGGAGGGGAATGCCTGGGAGGGTAAGAGGGAAGCTAGGAGCCGGCCTGGCTTTGTTTCTTGGTGGTGGTTTTTGTGGAGATGATTGGGGGCTACAGAAACCGTGGTCGCATCCTTAGCAAATGAAAACCGCATACTGTATGCGGGAGGTGGGAGCCGAGGACCAGGAGAGCAGGGATTCCACCCTCCAACCCTGTTCCTCCGTGCGCCCTCCCTCACCCCCCCAGCACTCACTTGAGAACCTGCACAGACAAGAGAAGAGGGGGAGTGGGGAAAGCAGAATTACATTTTCTCGATAACTTTAAGCATATATACACCAAATACTCCAAGTAATACAAACTGACCTACAGATAATTCTATCAATGTCACGGATATATCCTTGAAAGCGTGCGATGTGTCCAAAGAGCCCTCCCCGCTCACCCGCTGGCTTCATTCACCTGAACTCTGAACTAGGAAGCCACCCTGATTCCCCACATGCCTGGGTTGCAGGCTCTATCCCTCGTGAGGGGCGTGCATGAGGCAATCACTGATTCACATCATTGATGTTTCTCTTTCTCCCTCTGAAATCAATCCTATATTATAATCCTATATAGAAAAAGCCTAATATGCAAATTGACCAAATGGTGGAGCTATAGGTCACTATGACGCACACTAACCACCAGGGGGCAAACACTCAACACAGGAGCTGCCCACAGGCCAAAGGCCAGCCAAGGCAGGTGCCAGTGCCTCCCCACCCATTGCCCCACAGATTGGCCCTGATTACAGACCAGGCCTATAGGGACCTTACCCATGCACAAATGTTAGGCACCAGGCCTCTAGTAAAAATATATTTTTTTAAAAAAAAAATGAGGGCCCTATATTCCAGAATTATTTTCTTATTGGAACCAATAGTTGAAATAGGTTGTGTTTGGGGTTTTGTTTGTTGTTGTTGTTGTTTAATATATTTTATTGATTTTTTACAAAGGGGAAGAGAAAGGGATAGAGTTAGAAACATCGATGAGAGGGAATCATCGATCAGCTGCCTCCTGCACACCCCCTACCAGGGATGTGCCCACAACCAAGGTACATACCCTTGACCGGAATTGAACCTGGGACCTTTCAGGCCGACGCTCTATCCACTGAGCCAAACTGGTTTCAGCTGTTTGTGTGTGTGTGTGTGTGTGTGTGTGTGTGTGTGTGTGTGTGTGTTTTAAGTAATTTGCAGTGGCCATTATTAAGCAGTGCTAAGTCAAAACAACCTCAGAACTCTCACTTGGAGCCTTCACTCTTTATAGAACTTGCCACCATTTGTGAGTAGTACTCTCAATTTCTTCCTTTGTACCTCCCCCCAGGAATTACTAAACACCTCAATACAAATTCACTATTTATTGAGATCCTCCTATATGTCAAGTTCTGGTTTAATCGTTGATCAAATAAAAATGAAATGAAGCTCAGTCTGAAGGGAAAGAGCATTGCAAGTTATAACCCAGCACAAGTGCTGCCACGGAGGGTGTGCCTTACCTACCACTCTCGTTTCTTGCGTCCTGTTTACTTTTCTCCTCCAGTTTAAAATGTATTTTATTGGCCGGGACCGGTTTGGCTCAATGGATAGAGCGTCGGCTTGGAGACTGAAGGGACCCGGGTTCGATTCCGGTCAAGGGCATGTACCGTGGTTGCGGGCATATCCCCAGTAGGAGGTGTGCAAGAGGCAGCTGATCGATGACACTCTCTCATCGATGTTTCTAACTCTCTATCTCTCTCCCTTCCTCTCTGTATAAAATCAATAAAATATATTAAAAATAAATAAATAAATAAATAAATAAAATGTATTTTATTGATTTTTCTTACAGAGAGGAGAGAGATATAGAGCTAGAAACGTTGATGAGAAACATCGACCAGCCGCCTCTTGCACACCCCCTACCAGGGATGTGCCCGCAACCAACGTACATGCCCTTGACCGGAATCAGACCTGGGACCTTTCAGTCAACAGACCAATGCTCTACCACTGAGCCAAACCGGTTTCAGCTTCTCCTTCAGTTTAAAAAACCTCTGGATGAGGCAGCAGATACATTCCTCCAGTTCTTATGACACTCAGAGTGGTCTCTCAGAGACTAGAAGCTTCACAACAAGGGAAATGGCGAGGGAAGCCAGGACCAGGAAGGAGGGAGGTGGACTTCAGCCACTGCAGGGAGCAGCTCTGGGAGCAGGCACCGAGCGGTCCAGAGCCAGACTGCAGATTGCTCAATGGGCCAGACTCAGCCTGTGCTTGAGTCACTAGGCAACAGAGAGCTATTGTGAATTATAAACTCAGATAAAATAAAAATCTATATAATTTTTAGCCTAACATGCAAAGTATCCGTCTGCCCTTTTGACCAGTTACTATGACAAGCACTGACCACCAGGGGACAGAGGCTCCAAGCAGTAGGTTAGTTTGCTGCTGGGATCCGGCTGATGGGGACTGGGCGAGATGGGCCAGACATGCCCTGGATGAATCCGTGCATCAGGCCTGTTTTGCCTGATCCCTGCAGGCCAGGCCTCTGGTGTTCTTATAAGATTGCTCAGACAGCCGGACCGGTTTGGCTCAATGGATAGAGCGTCGGCTTGGGGACTGAAGGGTCCCGGGTTCGATTCTGGTCAGGGGCATGTACCTTAGTTGCAGGCGGATCCCCAGTAGGGGGTGTGCAGGAGGCAGCTGATCGATGACTCTCTCTCATTGATGTTTATAACTCTCTATCTCTCTCCCTTCCTCTCTGTACAAAATCAATAAAATATATTTAAAAAAAAAAAAAAAAGATTGCTCAGAGATGTGTTAGAAAGGCCAAATGAGGAGATTCTGAAAGTCAGAGGCTACTAAGAACTTGTGTTTGAGGGCCCGCAGGGCAGATGAAACCAGTCCCCCTCTGAGGAGCTCACAGCGCACTGGGAGAGAGAAATGTGAGGAAGTAGCTGTGAGCACACAGGTATGCTGTCAACACAATCCTGGGGTAGATAATCTTTGTTGAGAAGGAGGTGTCTCCATGGTTTGAAAAGTAAGACAGAAGTCAAGGGAGGACACACAGCCAGTCAGTGCTGGCTCCAAGGAAAGGGAGAGAACTCAAAGGATAAGGTTATTGGTTAGAAAAGCCTATCAATATTATGAACCAGACCTGGCCGGAGTGCTCAGTGGTTAGAGTGCTGGCCCGCAGACTGAGGTGAGGCTTCGGGGTTCAATTCTGGTCAAGGACACTAACCAGCCTGAAAACCCAAAGTATTTGGTTATTTGGGGAAAGAGAAACACACCTCTTTGCCAGACCCGGGCTGGTCTCTTTCATCTATTTCTTTCTTTTTTTTTTTTTTTAAATATATTTTATTGGTTTTCTACAGAGAGGAAGAGGGATATAGAGCCAGAAACACCGATGAGAATCATTGATCAGCTGCCTCTTGCACACTCCCCACTGGAGATGTGCCCACAACCAAAGTACATGCCCTTGACCGGAATCGAACCTGGGACCCCTCAGTCTGCAGGCCGACGCTCTATCCACTGAGCCAAACAGGCTTCAGCCTCTTTCACCTATTTCAACTGTGTCTCCAGATCTAACCATGTCCAGCTAAGCTCAGGCAGTACTTTGCTGATTATCCAGAGTGGGACAGCTCTGCGGCTGAGGCGGCAGACATTCGGATGAACAGAAGACTTTACAGTGTGTGCAGTGTGAGTGGTGAGATTAGATAAGAGGGCAGAAGAAAGAAGACAGAAAAGAAAAGAATTCAAGATCTGAAAGAATTTCTCCAGAATCGGGTCCATCTCTCACCCGACTTCCTCTTCCACAAGGAATAACACTTAGGAAGTTAAACATAAGAACCCTAATTAGCTTGGCTCAGTGGATAGAGCATCGGCCTGCGGACTGAAGGGTCCCAGGTTCAATTCTGGTCAAGGACATATACTTTGGTTGAAGGCACATCCCCAGTAGGGGGTGTGCAGGAGGCAGCTGGTCAATGTTTCTCTCATTGATGTTCCTAACTCTCTAGCTCTCTCCCTTCCTCTGTAAGAATCAATATATTAAAAAAGAAGTAAAGCGTAAGGTCTTGGCTAATGCGCTCAGGTGGGTGGGTGTCGTCCCAGTTCTGTCAGGGCACATGCCCAGGCTGCAGGCTGGATCCGGTGTCTGGCTCTCACAATTGATGTTTCTCTCTCTACCTCTTCCTCTCTAACAAAACCTTTCAAACTTAAGTCAAAACTCTTCCATTAATATATTTAAAAAGATACACAGCAAATGATCACCGTGCAAGAGGGAAGTTATCCACCTGCCCTATAGTGTTGAATTTTGCCTCAGTAAACATTTCCATTAACAAGTAAAATTTTGTTAAATCCAGTGTGGAATCGGAGAACAGCGTTGATAAAAAGTGGGACCTGACTCTGGCTGGGTGGCCCAATTGGTTGGAGTGCTGTTCCATACACCAAAAAGGTTTCGGGCTCGATTCCCAGTCAGGGCACATACCTGGGGTTGTGGGTTGGATCCCTGGTCAAGGCATATTTGGGAGGCAACCAATTGATGTTTTTTTCTCTCCCTAAAATAAACAAACATACCCACTGTGAGGATTAAACACACACACCAAATAAACCTGGGAGCTGTTTTTGGTGGCATCGGAGGAGCACTCACACCTGTATGTGTTGGGCACTTCTGTGGAGGGCACCCGCCCCGCCCCCGCTGTGTGCCGGGGCCTGGAGGTCTAGAGCCGCTGCGCTTCAACTCATGGCACACAGCAACTGGTGAGATCCACGGCACACCAAACAGATTATACTTTTTGCCGATCTGATTTTTTAAAAAGTATAATTTTTATTCATTCATACCAGACAGCTACTGTTGTGTTGGCTGTTGTCATTTTTTTATCTGACAATCTAAGGGAAAGGGGTCAGTGCCCTGACTACTCAGGTACTGCATATTCTCATGGCACCGGCTTGAAAATAGCTGGTCTAGAGCAAAGGTAGGCAACCTCCTAGAAAGAACGAGACAGTAAACATGTTAGGCTTTGAAAGACACATAGTTACAAACCTCTGCTGTTTCTGTACAAAAGCAGCCGCAGCAGGAGGCAGGTGAGGCCGCTCACGCTGGGACCTCTAACCAGAGCAGCGGTTCTCTCCTCACTTGGGGTTCCAGAGATTCCATATCTAGGATTGGGCCTAAGCTCCCCCCCAGCTCTTAGGTGATTGTGATGTGCATTATGGACTGAAAACAATTTTTCTAGAAAGAAAACTGTGGTCTTGGGAAATGGCTGGAGGTGGGGGCAAGGGAGGGGGGGTGGGGAAGGTGAGTACTGGAAGAATGACCCAGGGCTGCACTGAGGTCTGAAGACTCGAACTGAACCGTTAAATGCGTCCAATGCTTAATCAGATGCGCTGTCCCTCCTAGAGGCGCTGAGGCGGACCCCCTTCCCCACCTTCTCCTCAGCCTCCTGTCCAGAGCCGCTCCCTATAGGCTCCTGGAGACAGGGGTGACCACAGCCGGGCAGGCCCAATTATGGCCCAGCACACCCCACCTCCCCCAGACCCTGACTCCAAGCCCAGGGCGTTGCGAGGCCTGCTAGCCCCCCTCTGACAGAAGAAAGGAGGCCGCAGCTCCAGCCCAGCTTCTCCGCGGAGGGTCCGTCTGCAGGCACTTTCCAACTCAGAACCTGAAAGGGGGTCCGGACAGGGGCGGTCAGGGGCTGGCGGCTGGCAACCTCAGTTCAGAGGCTGGGCCTGGAGGACTGGGCCCCAAGAGCCCCTCGTGGCACCACCCCAACCTCGAGGATAAGATACACCCCAGCCAGCCAGGATCAGGCCTGAAGAGGGGGTGTAGCCCTTTCCCACCAGGTCACCCACCTGGGAGGGCCGGCTCCCCCGCCAGGACTCCACCTCTCGGGGAGGCAGGGGGCGGGCGGGAATTCAGGACCCCGTGCTAGGCCTCCCGCGCCTCCTAGCCGAGACCCCCCTGGTCCGCAACCGGCGGGGGCCCCCTCCAAATCTTGTACCAGGATGCTGAGCGTCCAGGGATGGTTCCCGCGGCCACTTCCTCCCCAGACCTCACATCCACAAGCCGGCCCGGCCCTTGGCCAGCAGCGAGCAGGGCTCCGGGAGCCAGACTGGGCACTGCGGGGGCGGGGTGATCGGAAGCCTGGGGACCGCCCCGCCAGGAGCCCCTTCCCTCAGCCCTCCCCCTTCTCCCTCTTCCCGCGCGCTCCCTGTCCAGGGCACGACGCCGGCCCCAGGACCCCTGCGGCCAAGGCCTCTGCCCTCCGAGAGCAGACCGAACCAGAAGCGAGGCACCGCCCGCCCGCCCCGCCCCGAGCACCTGCCCGAGAAACCGCGGGTCTGCCCAGGACTGCGCCAGACTCCTGAGCAAGCGCACCCACCCCAGGCCCCGCCCGAGCTGCACTGGTCCAAGCGCAGTGTGTCCCTCCGTCCACCCTGGGGCCCATCAAGGACAGACGGGAGTCGATCGCGGCTCTGAACACTTTATCTCGAAAAAAAAGAAAAAGGGGGAACCGTCCCCACAAGGGAGAAGGCCCACGTGGGCCCTGCCTGTATTTCTCCCTGGACATCTGCACAAGTCTCAGCCGCTGCCCCGCCTTCTCCTGGGGCAGCGCCACTGTTCCTTCCCCCCCGTCTCGCTGAAGTCTGTCCCCTGGCACCCTCAGGTACACCCCTGAGCTCCAGGGAAAGGGGGAACCGTGAAAGCCCCGGGTTCGGGGCAGCCAGGTCTCATCAGCAGGCACCAGGCAGGCCCACCGGGTGTGTCCAGCATCCAGCACGGACACTGGGTGTGCACCGGCTGTCCGCCAGTGCCCCTCCGTGTTCACACCCTGCAGGCTGCTGCCCGACACACCCTCCGAGCCTCCCAGTCTCGTGCCAGAAGTGGGCAGGGCAGGGCAGGCACGGCCCAGGAGCCACTGCTCCAGGCTTCCTGCCGCTCCGCCGCAGGGAGCCGTCAGCTGCTGTCGCTCTTGATGACCACCTCCACGCCATGGTGCCGCAGCTGGGCGCGCAGCAGCAGGTTCTTGTTCTTGAGGTCCTCCACCTGCAGGAGCAGAAAGGGAATGATCCCTGCGCTGACTCCGACCTCCGCTGGTGAAGGGGAGGTGAAGCCTGTCTATGGAAAGCGAAGTAGAGTCCCACCGGGGCTCAGCGGCTTTGGGGTCCGAGAGGGCTCCCTGGACAGGTAGCTGACCTGCTGGCGAAGCACTTCATTGTCCAGCTGCAGCTGGTCCAGCCCTTGCAGCTCCTCAGACAACCGGTGGTTGCTCTGCCGTAGCTCCTGGATATAATCACAGGCTTTGGAGAGAATCCCACCTTTACTCTGCAGGGAAAGCCAACAGAACGCGAGCTGGGCTAGGAGATACTTCCCAAAGCAGCGCACACTCTCCGCCTCACTTTCCCCCCCGAGAACCCCAGAAGAGAAGGCGACTGCGTGCAGCCGGGACAGGCCGGCCGCGGCCTGACCTGGCCGGACTTGGTGCTCTCCATGGAGCAGTCGGGGATGATCTTGGACAGCTGCACGATCCAGTTGTTGATCTTGTCCCGACGGCGCCGCTCCACTGCGGGAACAGTGAGGACAGGGTGACAGCCCACACTCCCACAGGCCCAGGAAGCGCCTGCCTTTCCCCTTACACGGCCGCTGTCCAATCCCACCAGACAGCTCCTAGCACCGCCCCGGCCGCACCCACCTTCATTATGCTGAGCCCTGCGTTTCTCATCCCGAGTCGTCCGGGGAGCTTCTGACTTCCTGACCACGGAGCCCGGGGCAGCCAAGTGATGAAGGTAAAAAGTCAGATCGGCACTTGGGCAGGTAATCACACAAGACCTGGCACTCGTAGTAACAAGGGAACAGGTTACTCACGGGGAGTAAGGGTGGGTCCTGGGGGCAATTGAGCGCTGGCTTCCTCCTTGCAGCACTTCTTGTGGTGACATCATCACGAAGAACTGACCTGCGAGGGTTCGGGTAGGGCGTCAGTGCATGGAACTAAGAACCTCAGCAAGCTCTGATGCCAAGGCCCTGAGACCCTCCTCTAAAAATGGCAAACTTCTGCCGGCCAGTGTGGGTCAGTGGTTGAGCGTTAATCTATAAACCATGAGATCAGTTTAATTGCAGGACAGGGCACATGCCTGGGTTTTGGGCTCAATCCTCAGGACGGGGCATGCAGGTGGCAGCCAATCAATGATTTTTCTCTCATCATTGATATTTCTCTCTCTTCTGTCTCTCTCCCTCTCCCTTCCTCTCTGAAATCAATAAAAATGTATTTTTAAAATAATAAGTAAAAATAAAAAGGACAGAGAAAAAGACAATAAACAAAACAAATAATTAAAAAGGGCAAATTTCCTCCTGCTGAGGGGTGGTCCCACATTTCCTGCTGCCTAGCAATCAGGGACCACTGCCCGCTGAGCCAGCATGTCCCACTGCCCACCCGACCCTGCAGCCCACGCTTCACACAGCATCTCACCGGTGCCAGGAGGGGTGGCCTGTCCCAGCAGGGCCTCCGAGCCCTGGGTGGTAACAACAGCGGCTGCACTCCCGGCCGCAGTCCCCGCCCCGTCGCCCACAGCAGCGCCAGGGAAATAAGCATAGTGTGTCTCAGCGGCCGTCCCCTCTGTGTCAGCTGCCTCGTCGCTGGTGAACGCACCCTGGATCACCGCCTGAAGGAAAGCAAGAGGACAGAGTCCAGTGACCATCAGACCCTCCCCAGGGAACTCTCTGCTGCTGCTAACCCTGAGGGAAGTGGGGAGAGTCTAGAGTGCCTGGGGACAGGGAACAAGATGCCTCACCACCACCCCCCCTTCCCTGCCTCATCTCCCTCTAAAGAGTTCCAGCCCCTCCCCTCCCATACCTGGGTCATGGACTGAGCGGCAGGGTAGCCACTGATGGCGCCCGTCCCCTCGGTCTGGCCATCCAGCTGCCCCTCGGACACCTGGATCACCCTGTACATCACCTAGAAGCAGGGAGGAAGGGGAAGGAGGAGAGAGGACAAGAGAGTAAGCGCTAGGGCTCCAGGCCCCTCACAAAGTGTCTCCTAGACAGGCCCCCAGAGGCCTTCAGAGACACAAGCCAACCGCTCCCCGTCTATCCCCATATGGAGGTTTCAAAGTAGCCCTACTCCATACCTACCTCTCTTCCAAACCCAACCTCCAAAAGCCCACATCGTCACCTCATCCTCCAAGCCAGGTCTCCACATGACAGGCTCCATGACCTCCCTCTGCCCGCCCAGGTGGCACCTGCGGCACCTGCCCTCCTTTACCTGGCCCCCATTCTCAGCTCGGAAGACGTACTTGACGTTGGGGTCGGGGAAGGTGGCAGATGACTGGATGCTGGCAATAGCCACACTGGTCGGGTCCTCCCCAGTTGCCACAGCACCTGGATTCAAGGAACAAGAAGAATCTGTGTTGCCTTTCTCCCCATTTCACTTGCCTGCCACAGATGGCCCACAGGGTGGGAGAGGCCATGATGGGCTCTTGTCCCAGCTCACTTCTCTTTCTACCACTCACCTTCCTGGATCTGCACTGTCCCCTCTTCCGTCTCAGCTGTTTTCTGCTGCCTGTTTGTGAAGGGGCCAAGGGTTAGGAAAAGGGAGGAAGTCCATGGAAAGCTCACTGGCATTCCCAACAGACCCTAGGCTAGCCTGGAATTTGCTGTTTCTGATGGACACAGACACTGAGCTAGCACTGAGCAGGCAGCACCCACCCAATGCTGAGAACAGCATACGCGGCAGGCAGGAGTGCTTCATTTCACAGACAGGAAACCAAGTCACAGCCACAGTGCTTCAGGAGATGGGACCTGAGCAGGTCTGCCTGACTCCAGAGCCAGCACATTCTCCCACCCCACACCCACCTCATCTTCACTCACCCCTTCATCTCTCTGTGAGCAGCACATCCAAAGAGCGGGCCCTCCTTCGGAAGTCTTTGTATCTCCTGCCTCACTGGCCTGAGTGTTAAGTCCTGGCAGAAATCAGGAGTTTGCAGTGACCCTAGGAAACTGAATAGCCCCCATATTAAAACTTCTTAGGCTCCATGAAGACACAGCCAGGAACATAACCCCATTTCTGCAGGGACAATCCGTTTCCTCTATCCTGATGCTGAGGAATGGGCCCCCTCACCTCCAGCAGGAGAGGAATAATCACACGGAGGGAGACGGATGAGGATCACAGCTCTGTGATCTGCAATGGCACAGGGATCAGGAAGAGCAATGATTAGAACACCATCTTCAAAACCCACAGGGCTGACTGACCCTGGACCAAAAGGTTGCGGGTTGATTCCTGTTCAGGGCACAGGCCCAGGTTGAGGGCTGGATCCGCATTTGGGGGTGTGCAGGAGGCAGCCGATTGATGATGTTCCTCTTATCGCTGTTTCTATTTCTCTATTCCTCTCTCCTCAAAAAAAAAAAAAAAAGTCAATAGAAACATTTTTAAAAAACATAAACAAAACCACAGGACCACTGAGGCTGATGCCTCTTCCAACTGCTCAGCCACACGCTGAACCAGTGCCAACAAATTTCTGTTCTCAGATCCAGGAATCCAGGAAGGAGAAACCAGAAGCCCATTGCCTGGGAAAACCCTTCCAAACAACCATAAACACCAGACTTGGCCTTTGAGGCCCGTTACAGTGACAGGCTCTTGTTCTGGTGTCCAGATGGACATGTTTGCTGAAGACCCAAAAGCACAAGTGCGTCCTCTTAAAGCCAAATGTATCCTCTCCACCACAAAGCACAGAACGACACCGTTGCCAAAATGTTGCCAGACAACTCCAAATCCAAGGAGGCTAGGCAAGAGGGGAGGAAGCTCCAGGCCGGGCTCTTAAGGGAAGAGACACCCGAGGTGCCCGCCGCGGGGAAGACGTGGGGGGGGGGGGGGGGCCAGGAAACAGCGCGCCGAGCAGACAGATGGCTCCAGACAGACACACAGGGCAAAGCAAGGAGGTAACCCCGGCGCCAAAGGGAAACTTTTTGGTAAATCTACCAGTGGGTCCCCCAAACCTTTCCCATCTAAGGAAAATCTTCAGCGACGAGCCTTGGAAAACCCGGACCCCAGGAAAGTGTTCTCCAAAGGGGAACCGAAAGCGAAACCGTCGGAGGCTGCGCTGCACGGAGGCCGCGGTCCCCGCGGGGAGGCTCGGCGGCCGGGACCACCCACCTGCCGCCCGGGCCGCGCGGGCAGCGCCCGGCGCCGCAGCGGCGAGGACGGCCTCCGAGGGCCCGGCCCGGTCACCGCGCCTGCCGGGCGTCCGGGAGCATTTCCCGGCCGGCGGCGCGCGCGCTCGGCGGGAGGCCGCGGGCGGGGCGGCCGCAGGGCGGTGCTCGGAGGGCACAAAGGGAAGGCGACGGAGCGCGGGCGGCGGCGCCCGCGGCGGATACAGCGCGGCGCTCGGCCCGGCGCGCAGGCGGGACGCGCGGCCGGAGACAGAGCCGGCGCGGCCCCTCCCCTAGCAAAGGCTTCCTCCCGCCTCCCCGCCCGGGACACGGTACGCGGTCGAGGCTGCCGTTCCTGCCGGCGCAGCCCGCCTCCGGCCCGGCCCGTCCTGCACTCACCCGCCTCAGACGCCGACTCCCGCGGACAGGGACCGCCGTCTTCGGGGCTCCATGGGCGGCTGCGCATGCGCACCGGCGGCGGCCATGCTGGTGCGGGGCGGAAGTGCCCCGCGGCCCGCCCCGCCCCGCCCCTGAGCGGCTCTGTCCGCCGCGCCGCCTCCCGGAGGCTGGAAAGACCCCAGGAGCGCGGCGCCGAAAGCCTGGGCGCTTTCCCTTCCTGACGGGCCGGGCCTTCCTGTTTAGTTCCGGGAGGGAGGGAGGGACGGCGACCGGCGGCGCCATCTTTGATAAGGGCTGGGGAGGCCGCTTGGCGTCAGGGCCCTCCCCGGAGCGTTTTGGGCGGCGCCTCGGGCGCACTTCCTCGCTGCACACCTCGGGGGTGGCGCCCGCCGGCTCTCGCCCGGGACCCGCGGCTTCCGGTGTGTGAGGCGGTTCCCCCGAGGGCGACCCCGACCCGCCTCTTCGCAGTCGGCCCCCCGGTGGGCTCGGGGAGCGCGAAGTCGGCGGAGGGAGCTGCGCAGACCGGGCCTGCGGCCGCGGGTTCCCGCCGCAAGCGCAGGGCCCGCCTCGCGAGGCGGCCGGGAACGCGGGGCCCCGACGCTGACGCAAATGTCAGCTTCTCTTCGCTCCGCCCGCCCAGCTCCGGCTCCGCGCGGTGCCGGGACCAGGCCCGCGCGCCGACAGACACAGGCCGGGCCGGCCAAGCGGGGAGGCGCGCCCTGCCTCCCAGGCTCCAGCCAATAACGAGACCGCGCCGCCGGTGAGACATGCTTTATTCCAAGCTCGGCCCGCGGAGGGGACCCGTCGCGGGCGCCATCCCTCCCGGAAGATCCGAGGCAGGAAGAGCCTGGAGGAGACGCTGTTCCTTAAGGCGACGGAAGCCAACGCGGGGAGCTGGAGGAGCAGACCTTCCCGGACACGGCCTCCAAAGCCTCCGGGCCTGTCCTGACCCGGGCAGAGCGGGCCTCGGGCCGGAGAACGGAACCGGAGCTGGGCAGCCCGGGAGTGCTCGCGAGCAGCCTCCGCCCTGGCCCGCCTCCCGCCTCCACCCCCCAGGCGAGCCTCTGGGTGCCTGCTGCCTGGGGCAGTGACTCACCCCCGAGGAACAGGCTCTGGGCCTCCTCGGGGTCTCCTCTGGGGCAGGTGCTTGTGCCTGAGACAAGTTTAGGTAAACCAACCAGACAGACTGCCTCCCCCGGTCAGAGAAGTCAGAGGGCCGAAGCCTAAGAGGGGGCTCAGGCTGCAGGAGACAGCTAGGCAGGGACCCCAGAGGCTGAAGACAACTTCCTGCCCCTGTGCCCGAGCTCTGGTCCTAATCATAGTCCCTCACCTCTGCCAGGGTCCGCCTGCGTTTCAAACGCATATGATCGGCGCTGTGGGGGCAAGAGGGGCTGAGGAGGCTGGGGCTCTCTGGGGGGTAGACTAAACCGGCTCCGGGGTTCAGACCCTTCTGTGCCTTCAGGTGGGAGCTCTAGGCAGCTGAGGGGCCGAGGGGAAAGGGCAGGGAGCATGCTACAGGGAGAGGTTCTGGGGATGAGGCTGTAGTCCTCACTCCTGGCACAGGTCTGGGTCCGCCACACCCCCAGCACCTCAGTTCGCTGGCGGTCCCTGGCCAGGGCCACAGCAGCATCGAAGGAAAGACTGCCTCCGTTCCTCCAAGAGGACCGAGAGGCTCCGGAACCCCTTTCCCCAGGAGTCCCATCCAGCCGACCAGGCCTTGGGCAGGGGTTTGCCGGTGCCACGTGGATCTTGCTACACATTACACTGGGCATCTTGGCAAATTGTGGCTTAGGGGGCACCACCGGCACAGAGCGGACCTGTTGGACCTGAACCTGGGTGGAGGCCAGGCGCATGCCCACACTGCCAGCCGAGCTGAGGGGACAGGGGCACAGATGGCAGCCCTCTGGACTGGGCTGCCCCTCAGGCTCCATCTCCTCTGGCCGGGGGGGCTGTGGGGCTGCCTGTTGGGTCTCAGAGGCCTGGGCACTGCCCTCTTTGGCATCATCAGCCTCTAGGGACACTACATGCGACCCTCCAAGGAGGAAGCCCCCTTCTTGATGGTCTCCAGCCTCCTGCGCTCCCTCCGCCTCTCCATCCCCGCTCTCCCGCTCCCTGCTGGCCTCTGCTGCTCCTTGGGCTGCTTCTGCGCTGTCTTCACCATCCCCTTGGTCTTCTCTGCCATCCTGGTCTCTGTTCTCCCTCTGCCCTTTGACATGATCCTCACCCTCTCCGCCTTCCCCAGCCGCTTGGGTGTGGACAGCATCCCAGCTCTCCCCAGCAGCTTGCACTTCCTGGGCCCCCTGCTCTGGGTCCCTTCCAGCGTCTACCTGGGCGCCCTCTCCTTCCTCAGCCTCTCCCCGTCTTTCAGGCTTTACGTCTTTACCTGGCCCTCCGGTTTGCTCCACACCCTCAGCTTCCTCCATGCTCTTACCCTCCTGCCGGCCTCTGGACTCTTCCTTGGCCTCTGTCTCCTTCCCACTTCCTTCCCTCAAACTGATTGTCAGCTCTTGGCTCACCTCTGCTTCCCCGCCTTCTTCACCTGCCTCTCCAATCTCCACCTTGTTCTCTGGACTTCCCTCAGCCTCCTCCCTGATGTCCCATCTGCTGCCAGGCTCCATCTCCTTGTCCTCCTCCACTTCCCAGCATGCCTGCACCCCCTCAGCCTGTCCCGGACCCTCCCAGGCCAGGGGTTTGGGCCCCAGAAGAGGACTTAGGTCATCATAGGCACTCAGGAAGACTTCTTCCCCATTGTCCTCTGCCTCAGGCCCTTGCCCCATGGAGTCCGGGGAACAGCAGCTGGGAGCCAGGACAAACTGCGCCTCCTCCAGAGACAGGTCATCCAGGGGCGGCTCCACGGAAAACTCCTCCACCTGTGGGCACAGCAGTGGCTGAGGACCCGGGTCCTGTCTTTCCTCAGGAGTCCTCACTACCCAGCTCAACAGGCTCCTCCTTACCTGAGGCCCAGCTCCCAGCAGCTCCTCCAGATAGCCCATCCCAGGGTCGTCCTCCCCAGGAGAGAAGGCTGCTGCCGCTCCTGCCGCTCCTGCCTTGGCCGCGTCCCCGTCCTCCACCCCCACCCACTCAGGCTCTGAGCTGCTGGAGTCCTCCAGGAAGGAGAAGGAATCTTGCACCTCTTGGGACAGGCAATCCTCCAGGGCAGCGGCCAAGGCTGCTGGGCCGGAGTCAGCCAGGGGGCCTGGGGCTGGACTCGCCTCGGACTTCTCCTCTGTTGGAAGAGGTGGCCCCAGGAACACAAAGGTCAAGACCAGCCCAGACCCCTCCAAGGTGGCCTTTCCAGCACTGCTGCAGGCCCCCAGCCCTGAAGGGTTGGAATGCTGACCCTCAGACCAGCGTTCCAACCCATCAGCTTAGAGCCGCTTGCACTGGGCGCCTCCCAGGTGCCAAGCACATGCACCTCGTCTGTTTCCCTGCAAAGCACATGGCCATACAAGGGTGTGGTCTCCATGTTACACTTGAGGGGCCTGAGACTCAGAGATGGAACAGGCTGCCCAGACCACTGGGTGGCAGACATTGGTCCCACACAGACTCCGCAGCCACGGCCTTCGCCCTGCCTGACACTGCCGCCATCGGCGGTGACGCTGCGGAATGAGCTCAGAGCAAAGCTCAGACCCTCTCTGCTGCCTTAAGCGGCCGCTGCACCACACGGAGCCAGCAGGCCTGGCCACCGGCGCCACACCCCTTCACGTGGCATTTGGCACAGAATGGCCATCAGTAGGGTTAGCCGTCCGTCAGCACTAACGCTATGACTCGGTGCTTTCTGTCCTTAGTGACCCTGCCTGTGTCCCACCACAACCCTACCCTTGGGTGGAGGAGAGACCCTCTCGCCATAGATTTCATATGAAGGACTGGATTCCCCCCACCTTGAACCGAGGGCAGGTGAAGGCGACCACCCAAAGACCAAGGCCTATGAGGCTTTCCCCCCACCGCCCCAGCATCAGACCTCCAGCTGCAGGGCCTCGCCCCCACTCCCGGTCCCCGGTCCTCACCTGGGGGCCCAGGGCCCGGGCAGGGGCCAGAGGCGGGGCTCGGCCGGGGCTGCAGGGCAGGGCACTCAAGGCCGCGGGTGAGCCTTCTCAAGGAGACGTTGGAGATGATGTTGGGAGGCACGCTGAGGATGGAGGTGATGTGCAGCGGGAGGTTGACGTTGTACGGGTCTGAGATGTGGACGCCGGCACAGCGCTCGGCCCGGCTGCCGCCCCCAGCACGGACCGCTGACCGCCCGGGGCGCGGCGTTCCTGGCTCGGAGCTGGTGCTGCCCGGGGCCCCTGCCTCGGGCTCCGGTTCACCTTCTGCTGCCTCTGCAGAGTCATCCTCCAAGTTCTCAGGTGCCCGGGGGCTGGGCCGGGGGCTGCTGGGGGCCCGCAGTGCCTCTGCCTCTGCCTCTGCCTCTGCTTCTGCCTCTGCCTCTGCGGAGAGGGCACCAGGCTCAGCACTGGCCCCGCACAGCACCTCATCCCACAGCCTCGGAGGACAGCCTGCAGGCACCGCCCGCTTCCCCCGCCACGACCACGCGCCCACACCCAGAGGTCACAGGTCGCCCCACACGCCACAGCGTCTGCGTGTGCTGCTGTGAACACGCCCTGGATTAGGAGACTGCTGTAAGCCAGGCAGCCAGCATCTTGGCTGGCATGTAATACTGCGTTTGGTGGTGCAGCAATAGTAGCTGTTTGTGAGATGAGGGAGTACATGCGCACAAGTGCACACGGTGGTCTTGTTCATAACACTGTCAGCCTCACAGAGGTGGTTCTACACGCAGATGCCAAGGCCCATACAGCCCGCACCCACGGCACGCGGGCACTCACCGTCACCGGCCCCGGCCACGGCGCTCAGGGAGTCCATGCTCTTGGCTGGCCGCAGGGTCCCCTTGTCAGATTTGTCCTCTGCAAGACAGGGTGTGTAGGGCCTAGGCCGGGCACTCCCACACCAGAGGGCCCCTACCTCACCCCAAACTTACCCCTGTCCTCAGCCCCCCGTGGGAATTTCCTCTTGGTCTCATGGCCAGAGCGACCCAGATTGAAGATAGATCTCCACTTCCTGACCTTCAAAGAGCCCTTCCTCCTGGAGGGAGTGGAGAGGTCAGGGATGGCCTGGTGGCCGGGCGGAGGAGGGCAGGAGGAAGCCTTACTTGTGCTCTGTGATCTCAATGATGGTGTGATAGGGCCGGAGCTGCGGGGGGCCATCGCCAGCCTGCAGGACGCTGGGCAGGTGGTAGGGCAGCGACCTGGGCATAAAGTCCTCGGGACTGCTGGACGCCCGGAGCCCAGGGAGGGACCGCCATCCACTCTCCGGCTCCCCACCTGGGAAGAGAGGGGAGTCGCCACCAAGAACAGAAGTGAGGGCTCCGGGCACCAGCTCCATCGCAGGCCCTGGTCTAGCTCCTCAAGGGCAGGGGGTGAGTCCCAGGGACAAAGGGGGCCAGAGGTCCCAGACACTGGCCTGTGGGGGAGGGAGGCCAACAAGCAGTAGCCACTAGTCCTGGAGCCAGGCTAATGGAGGTGAGCAAGAGACCGTGCTGCCGGCAGAGAGCAGGAGCGCCTGCTCACACCGGCTGTCCCTGCAACTCCAGGCCTTCGCCACGAGCCTCAGTTTTCTCATCTGCAAAGTGGGAGACTGACCCAGTGACCTCCCAGGCCCTGCAGCTCTGCCGGGACTCCCTGGATGCGGTGACATGCTGGGCTGGAGGACACTCACCAGAGAGGGCAGTGTCCCCGAAGAGCTGGTCCACGTGCGTGAGGATGAACTCCACCACGATGGACTGCACACGCACCTCCATGAAGGCTGCTGTCCCGTTGAAGCCCGAGGCCTCGATGTCCTTGGACCTGAGCGGAGGGGAGTGGTTCTCACCGCTGAGCGGGAACTCCTGACCTGAATCCTTCCTAAAAGTCCCTCACGCTTTTCTATGCGCCCTCGGCCCATCTCCACCTCCTCCCACAGCGTTCCAGCTCAAAGCCACTTCCTCCAGGAAGCCCGAGGCACCCTCTGAACTCTCTGCTTTCTGCGCCCACCAGGGCCTGAGCTCATGGTCATGAGTGCGGCGCAGCCTGCCCGGGCAGCCTCCCTCCCGCAGAGCATGGCCAGGCCGTGCTCCAGGCCCAGGAGGCAGGCATGGCTCAGCCCCGCGGGACCGGGCTGCGCGAGCTCAGAGGCGCGTCCACGGGCTGAGCCGCACCCCATTCGGGGCAACGCTGAGTCTTTCTGTGCTCCACGGGCTCAGGGACCAGTCCCACTCCAGCCACCCCACCGCCCCCTCCTGCGCTGCTGGGTCCCCACGCCGCTCCCAGGAGCACGCACCTCAGCAGGTTGGGGGCCCACACGATGGCCAGGTTGCGGGCATGCATGTTGGTCTGGGCACTGAGGGAGGCCATGTGCACCAAGTGGCGCATGAGGAACTCCAGGGTCCTGCAGAGGGGCCAGGGCCAGGGTCAGGGGTTGGAGGCAGGTGTAGGACTGGCCCCTGGAAGGACTGGGGGTGCGGGCAGGGCTGGGCGTGGGGAGGAGCCTGCGCACCTGTAGTTTGGGGTGGGGAGTTCTCGAAGCACCTCTAGGATCTTGATCAAGCGCTCAGGTTCCAGCTGCACTGCCACCGCCTCCTGATGGAGGAAGGTTCCAGAGCGGGTCAGTGGCCCAGTCTGCTGTGCTTCCTGCCAGAGCTCTGAGCAAACTGAGAAATAGCTGTGCTGCCCACGCCAGCAGGCCCAAATGCACAGGCAGCAGGGAGAGCTCGGAGCCAGGAGCCACAGACCTGCAGCGGGATCTTGGCTGTGCCTCTTGAACAACTCACTGCCACTGTGCCAGAGTCCTCTGTGGGCCCTGGTCCCAGGATAAGCCCCTGGCGCCCGGCCTCAGCGGTTTAGCCGGGGTGGCCGAGGCACACTTTGCTGTCAGGGTCTCCAGGTCCTGTTGCTCGATAAACAAGCCAGGACGCCCCCTCGGCCCTCTCTGCACCCAGCCTCTCACTCACAGCGAACTTGTCGTAGAGGCGGTACGTGAGGAGCGGGTCGGGCAGCTCCCGGAAGTAGGCCTTGCACAGCGAGGACACGCAGTGGATGTCTTGGAGGTAAACATCTCGCCGCAGGTCTGGCTTCCGCTCCGCCTCAAACTCCTGCCTGGGGGGGGGGGCAGAGTGGTCGGAAGTGCAGCCGAGAAATGGGGGAGCTGAGGGATGGCTTCAGACACAGGTGAGGGGCAACGTGTGTGAGATTTGGAAGGAGGACCTGGCGTGCCGGTCACCGCACGGGGCAGTTGTGAGAATAAGTGGCTCAGGGCGTGGACAGGTCCACAGCGGGGATGTGGCTGCAGGCACAGCGATGTGGGAAGGGCGGGGGCTGGGACCAATAGAGATGGGGCTGGCTGTATCTGGGTACAGAGATGGAAAGGTGGGTGAGTGTAACCTTACATGGAAAGGTACATGTAAATCTTCATAATCTTGGGTATGGCACCAAAAGCACAGGCAACCCACGGAAAAATAAATTGAACATCAAAATTGCACACTTCTGAGCCCTGGTTGGCATGGCTCGGTTGTCAGAGAGTAGGCCTGGCACCAGAGGGTCACGGGTTTTATTGTGGTGGTGGTTGTTTTAGTGTATTTTTATTGATTTCAGAGAGGAGGGGAGAAGGAGAGAGAAGAAACATCAGTGATGAAAAAGAGTCATTGATCGGCTGCCACTTGCATGCCTCACACTGGGAATCAAACCATGACCTCCTGGTTCATAGTTCAGCGCTCAACCATTGAGCCATGATGGCTGGGCCGAAGGGTCACAGGTTTGATTCCCAGTCAAGAGCATGTACCTGGGAGGCAGGTTCAATCCTTGCCCACCCTTCTTCCCTCGAACCCAGTCAAGGTGCGTGTGGGAGGCAACCAATCCACATCTCTTTCACATCAATGTGTCTCTCTCTCACGTTGATGTTTCTCTCTCTTCTCTCTCTCTGCCCCATCCCCACCCTACCACTCTCTAAAAATCGATAGAAAAAAATATCCTCATTCCTTGGATGAGGATTTTAAAAAAGATTACAAACTAGTGCTCATCAAAGGGCACTGCCGAGAGGCCATAGGATGGGGCTTGCAAGTCAGACTGAAGGAGTGTCTGACATTGAATGGAGTGTCCATAATATAAAGAACTCTTTCAATTCAAAAGAGACAAACCAACTTAACATGGACAGAAGCCTTGAACAGACATTTCTCAGAGAAGACACAAGAGGTGCCACGTCACCGGCTGTCAGAGATGCTAGCGCAGGTGAAATGCAGTCACAGCCACTGAGGCGGCGCCGAAGGACAGGGTGACGGCGGGCACTGGGGACCCTTCTGGGAATGTGGAACGATGCAGCTGCTGCGGGAACAGTTTGGTGGCTCCTTTAAAAGTTCAACATAGACTTTCCACATGACCCACAATCCCACACCTGTATGCACACACAGGAACTGCAAGCATATGTCAACATACATATGTACATGAGTGTCTGCACCGTCATCTAACAGCCAGCAGGCAGAAACAGCCCAAAGAGCCATTAACTGATGAGGGAATAAACCCCGTGTAGTCGAGCCACCACGGAATGTCATTCAGCCATAAAAGGGAATGAAGTGCCAGTACATGCAACAACACACATGGACTTTGAAAACAGGCCAAGTGAAAAACACACACACACACACATTCACAATTATACGACCCATTTCTGTGAAATGGGCCAAATAGGAAAACCCGTTCAGACAGTGGCAGTGGCTGCCGGGGCAGGAGGGAAGGCGGGCAGTCCGTGGCTGTGCCGTGGAGGGAGAGGACGCTCTGAACTGAGAGTGATGGCTCGCAGCTGTGAGCAGGTAACAGCCACTGAAACGGGCATCTTCCTTTTATTTTTGTAATATGTGTTCTTATTGGTCTCAGAGAGGAAGGGAGAGACAGACACATCAGTGATGAGACAGGATCATTGATTAGCTGCCTCCTTTATGCCCCCCACTGGGGATTGAGCCCGCAAGCCAGGCATGTGCCAGAATCGAACCCAGGACCCTTCAGTCCATAGGCCTACACTCTATCCATTGAGCCAAACCAGCTAGAGCTTAAATGTGAATCTTTATGTGGTGAATTTTATGGTAGGAGAATTTTTTTTTTTAATTTAGCCCTACGGATTTTATTCTCCCCCCCCCCCGCAAATATATTTTATTGATTTTTTACAGAGAGGAAGGGAGAGAGATAGAGAGCCAGAAACGTCGATGAGAGAGAAACATCGACCAGCTGCCTCCTGCACCCCCCCCACAGGGGATGTGCCCACAACCAATGTACATGCCCTTGACCAGAATCGATCCCGGGACCTGTCAGTCCGCAGACCGACGCTCTACCACTGAGCCAAATTGGTTTCAGCAATGGTAGGAGAATTATACCAATGTTTTTAAAAATATTTTTAATTGATTTCAGAGAGGAAGGGAGAGGAAGAGAGAGAAACATCGATGAGAGAGAATCGTTGATTGGCTGCCTCCTGGGAAACAAGCCAGCAACCCTGCAACCCAGCCATGTGCCCTGACCAGGAATCTTACCGTGACCTCCTGCTTCATAGGTCGATGCTCAACCCCTTGAGCCACATTGGCCAGGCACCACTGAGTTGTTTTTTGTTTTATTTTTAATGTAGATATATCCAAGCCAGCATATGAACCAGGAGGACATGGTTTGATTCCCAGGCAGGGCACATGCTCAGGACAAGCTCGATCCCCAGTGGGGCGTGCAGGAGGCAGCCGATCAATGATTCTCCCATCATCGATGTTTGCATCTCTCTCCCTCTCCCTTCCCCTCTGACATCAATTAAAAAATATATTTTAAAAACCACAACGCTCGGAGTGCATGTGAGAGAGGGTGAGTCTGTGCACATGCTAGCCAGGCCCGGGAGCGCATGGTCTCGGCCTTCCCTACGCAGGCTCTGCTGGAGCCCCTCCCTGACGCGGGGCCTGGTCTGTGTCCTCCGCCCCCAGGCCTGACTCACCGGAGCTTCTGGATGTTGGAGGAGACCCCCGAGAGGCGGTAGATGCCGTCCACCACGCCGTACTCCTCCACGAACTCCGCACAGCTCCTCAGCACCTGGGGCACTGGGCGCGGGGCAGACACAAGCCGTCGCAAGTCAGAGGGCAGCCTCCGGGAGGGCGGGCAGCCCAGGGCAGTGCCCATGGAATTAAACTTGTCAAGAAGACTCTCCCCCAGCTGCCCACCCTGCCCCACCTGTCTGCCAGGGGCAGAGCCTCAGCGTAACCCAGGGGGAGCCACTCCTGTGGGGAGCTCTGCCTTCATGGAACTGAAGTTTCTCTCTCTGCAATGACTGCTTGCTACTCTAGACTTCTAAAGGGTTAGCAATCTGTTTGAAAGTGTGCTGTAAACACACTTCAAGCCACCCTATACTCTGCGTCCCAACCACCTGGGACAGGGCTGCCGGATATCACCGCTGACGCAGGAAGACACACACCAGTGACAGGCCTTCAAACCTGTCAGTGCAGGAGAGAAGCTCCTACATGCACGCACTGTGGAGCTAGTCCCCATTTTACAGATAGGATCGAAGGACTCGCGAGTACCCAGGATCGCCCAGGGAGAGCCAGGACTGAACTCCGTGAGCTCCGAGAGCAGCGCCATGCCTCAAGCTCCTGTTACCGAAGCTTCCTAAGGACAAACGCTCCGGGGACCCACCGTGCTATTCCTCCAGTTATGTGACCTGTGTCTCCCGCCTGGGAAACCCTCAAAACCCCACAATTCCCTGCTTCAAATCCTTTGTTATAGACACACCCTGCTCCACCCCAGTCTTCATTGTGAGAGGGCAGGGCGGGGCGAGAATAAACTCCAGACTCCACTGTGGGGCAGGACGGAGCTATCCTCCATTCTGTGTAACGACCCTAGCCCTCACCCAACCAATTGGGGCCAGCCAAAGCAGGGACATCACCACCGGAGTAAAACCCCAGGGCTTGGTGAAATTCGCGCTCTTCCGCCATGCTGCCGGGAGAGTGGGACGGAGCCCATGCTGGCATGGAAAAGGCTCTTTTGTTTATTGCATCGGACTCGGCTCCCTGACGGTCCTTGGGGATCACGAAGTCTGGGCGTAACACATTGCTCACCTGACAGACACGGAATGAAATATAAACTATTCAGGTGACAGGTAAGACCCTCACAATCGGGTCCAGCTGCCACCTCAGCCTCAGCGCCAGCAGGCTCCCATCAGGTCCCTGACCAGCCCGTGGCTCTGCTCGGAACATGTCCTTCCTTGTTCCACCATGTTACTCCCTCTCCTGGAAACGCCCTCCCCTCTGGCTCTGCCTGTGAACTCTGCGCTCTCCAGCCACCTCCAACCCTGCCTCCAGCGCCAGCCGGCTCCCCGCGCCCACAACGGCCTGCGCACGTACTGCGCCTGCGAGGCCCGTCTGGTCTGTCCCTTTGGACAGCAGTCACCCCCCAGACAGCACAGGGTGGACACATGGCACATGCTCAGTACATGCTCATTGACGCTCAGCTAATGACCAGCTGTGATCATCGGTGCTGGGCACTGAGTGCATCAGCTGCCCCGCCCTGTCCCTCCTTCGAGGCTTCAGGAGCCCAACCGTGTGCCCCACGCCACCCCCGGCCGCCCGGCCGCCCGCCACGTGGGGCTGAGCAGCCTTCCTCTCCGGTCCCCGCTCGCCCCTCAGTCCCTGCTCTTCTCTAACGGCTTCGGAGGCCGGCCAGCAGCGCTTTGTGCAGGTAGCACACAAGGCAAGAGCTCGCAACCCACCGCGCACCATTGTAAAGCCCTGGTGTCCGCACCGCGGCCGGGCCCCGCAGAGGCCAGGAGCAGGTGGGCGAGGCGGCCTGTGCGTGCGTGCGGCGGTGCCAGCGCGGCTGCGTGGCCAGGAGGGCGGAGCTCAGAGGCCTCGTCCGCCCCCGCCCTCCTGGTCTGCCCGCTCCCAACCCCCCCCCCGCACCTGAGCCCGCTCCCAACCCCCCCGCACCTGTGCCCGCTCCCAACCCCCCGCACCTGTGCCCGCTCCCAACCCCCCCCCGCACCTGAGCCCGCTCCCAACCCCCCTCCCCGCACCTGTGCCCGCTCCCAACCCCCCCGCACCTGTGCCCGCTCCCAACCCCCCCTGCATCTGTGCCCGCTCCCAACCCCCCGCACCTGTGCCCGCTCCCAACCCCCCCGCACCTGAGCCCGCTCCCAACCCCCCCCCGCACCTGTGCCCGCTCCCAACCCCCACGCACCTGAGCCCGCTCCCAACCCCCCCGCACCTGTGCCCGCTCCCAACCACCCTCCCCGCACCTGTGCCCGCTCCCAACCCCCCCGCACCTGTGCCCGCTCCCAACCCCCTCCACACCTGTGCCCGTTCCCAAACCCCCCCACACCTGTGCCCGCTCCCAACCACCCTCCCCGCACCTGTGCCCGTTCCCAAACCCCCTCCACACCTGTGCCCGCTCCCAACCCCCACCCGCACCTGTGCCAGGGCCCTCACTGAGCGCAGTGACGGGCGGTTCCTGATGCAGCACCAGCATCGGTGGCCACCCCGCACCCAGGGACTGTGTCACAGGAGCCACGGCCAACAGACAGACCTCCCCCCTCCTCTGTCCAGCGAGAAGGCGTGTGGGAGCCCGGGAGTCAGAGCCACTGAGGAAATGGGTCAAGGAGAGGGGGGAAGAGAGGTCAGGGTTGACAGATGGAGGGGGTGAGGAGCCAGAGGCCAAAGAGATGGCGTCAGAGGCACAAATCCCGGAGAAGGGAGGGCCAGGCGCGGAGGAGGCCGGAGCGTCAGAAAGCCGAGTGAGGTGTCAGATGGAGATGGGGCCACTGTGTGGCTCAGCGGTCGACTGTCAGCCCATGAACCAGGAGGTCACAGCTCAATTCCCAGTCCGGGCACATGTGCCGGATGCAGGCTCCATCCCGATCCCCAGATGGGGGTGTGCAGGAGGCAGCAGATCTGTTTCTACTTTTATCCCTCTTCTTCCTCTCTAAAATCCGTGAAAACGTAAAAGAAAGCTGGGTAAGCAGAGGGCTGGGAAGGGAGGCCCCGGGGCAAACAGCTGGGAGCAGTGCAGCAGTTGGACAGGGACGGGTGGCAGGAAGGATGGCGGGAGGGGTGGCGGGAGGGATGGCGTAGAGGCCGAGCGAGTGTCACTGGGGAAAGGAGCAGTGCCGGCCCCACGGGGGCTTACTTTCCGTGGGGTTTTGGGCTGGAGCAGCCCCCACCAGGTGTCTCCCCTTCACTCCCACTCTCTGCGCCGGGCCTGGCCCAGCCTCGCGGCCACTCTGGTGCCCAATGGCGCCTCCCGAGGGCTCAGGGGGTCGTGCGGGGCGAGGCCTCCCCTCACCCTCCGGAGGCGCCGAGGTCCGACCCAGCACCCAGATGCTGTCCTTCCCGCTGACAACGCAGACAGAGGCTCCGGCCTGGGGTCCAAGCTGGAGGGGGTGGTGTTCGATGTGGGGGGAGGGGGGTGGCGCCAGGAGGCGGCTGCACTGGGCTTGCAGAGAACCGGGGAGGAGGGCCAGCCGTTGGCGCGGGCCCTGGGCCCAGAGCCTCCTCCAGACAAACCCTGCCCGAGGCTGGCCGTGCCCTGGCGCCCGTCGGGGGCAAAGCTGCCGCTGCTCTGCTCCTCCAGGGCCCCACGGCGCCCAGGCCGCCGGGGACGCGGCCCCGGGAGAAAAGGGGAAGGTGTCTGGACGCGGGCGGACCCTGAGCAGGAAGCCAGAGGAACCAGGGCCCTCCCTGCACCGCGGGGGCCACAGCACCGAGCAGAGAAGGGCAAAGAGGAAACGACAGATTGGGGGGCCTCCTCTGGGCGGAGCTGGACCTGCCAAAAACAGCGGGCGGGCGGCCGGGACTCCTGCGCCATCCCAATCACACTGAGAGACGCAGCTGCTGGGGGCAGAGGAGCCGCTGGCCCCGTCCTGCCGTCCCCAGGCCCCGAGGCCCTCAGGGCGAGGCGGCTGGCGAGCTCTGGGACACCCCACCCTCCTCTGCCCTTCACCCCATCTTCAGACCAGGCCCCCGGCTGCCTTGTTCTCTGGCATCCCCATGTCCACGGCCTCCCCTGCCCCCCCTTTGCACAAAGGGACCAGGAGGACCCCAGAGAACAGGGGCTTTCCCCCGGGAACCTCACTGGGGCCCAGCCGGGCTGGGAGGGTGCTCTCCTCACCAGGACCCACCCGGGTGCCTCCTCGGACCTCCCAGCCCTCGTCCATCCCTCCATCCAGACCCAAGGACCGCCATTGCCCCTGGAGGCCCTGCCTTCTTCACGAAGCTTCCTGCCTCGCCGGCCCCCCGCCTTCTGGGGCACCCAGCCCCTCCCTGCGCGCCCTCTTCCCGCTGCGGCCGCCCTGCCTTACCCTCCTGGCCCGAGAGCCGCAGGTGGTCCTGTAGGTCACACCCGAACACCCGCTCCTTCGAGCCACCCTTCTTCTTGCCTTTCTGCCGAGACTTCATGGCTGCAGCCCAGGCCTCTGGCCCAGCCACCGCCGTCCCCCGAACCTTTGGCCTATGGGTTCCCCACAAAAGTCCTAGCCAGCCCGAGGGCGTGGCCCTGCCCCAGGGCAGGACTCGGAATTGGGGGTGGAGGGTGGCCTCGCGGCGGCGGCTCCAGCCCTGGGGCTCCGGCCCAGGAAGTGGCGGCGAAGAGGAAGCTGCTGGGACCCGACACAAAACGGTCTCGTGGCCGACCTGGCGCTCGCCCTCCGGCTGCTGGGCCCGGGAGGGCAGGAAGCAGCGCAGCGCCCCAAACCCGCTTCCTGTTAGAGCATCTTCGCAACCACAGGGCGGGGTGGGGCGGTAGCCGACATCCACATCCTCACACGTTGCTGGGCTTGGCCCATTGGTCGCGGGAGGTGATGTCAGAGCCCTGGGTGTGTGCGCGGCCGGGGCCCGAGCAGGTGACTGGCACTTAGAGCCAAGGATGCTGGGTCCCAGGTAGAGACCCGAGGCCGGCCCCCTTGAGGCAGCGAGGAGCTGTGCCCAGCACACGCCGGAGGGAGGGCCAGGCCCGCCCGCGGCCCTTCTCACGGGGACCTGAAGCACTCCCAGCTCGAGCCTCGGGGAACTCCTCTGCGGTCTGGCTCCTCTGTCTGTGCTGCCGACCGCAGCCCTGCTGCCCCGGTCCCACAGGGCAGGCTGAGGGACAACAGGGTCCAGGCTTACACACCCGGGGCGGGGGGGGGGGGGGGTCAAGACAGGAACAAGACAAACAGGTATCATGTTTATTTATGTACAAATATGGACATATTTACATAGAATGTACACACTAGGGTCCTAGATCCAAAGTTCTGGGCTGGCGGGGAGCAGGGCCAGTCTCTCCTGTGACCAGGAACCCACGTTGCAGGCCTGAGTGGTGGCTGGGCTAAGCGTGGGGCTCGTGGCTGCCGTCCCCTGGGTGCTCTGGTTGCGTGTGTGAGTGGACCCAGCAGAAAGGGACCAGAAAAGCCGAGGTGGTGGCCCCGGGACCCCAGTCAGGCCCCCAGCAGCCTCTTCGCCTCCCCTGAATCCCCACCCTCTCTCCCCAACAACTGAACAGGAACCCTCATCACCAAGTCCCAACAGCCCCCAGGTCCACAGGCCACTGAACCACAATGAAGAAAGCAGAGGGGCTCAGGGGACAGAGGGCCGACCCTGCCTCCGGGGCCACGGCCACGGCCGCAGACCCGCTGGCTCCAGGCTCCCCCAGAGGCCCCTGGCTGTCCCGCGGTCTGTGCTGAGGCCTCCCTTCGGGGAAGGAGAATGTCGTGTGAGTGAAAGCTTGTTTCCAGTCTTCCTCTTACTCTGGGACTCACAGGCTGGTCCTTAAACACGTGCGAGTAGCAGGCCCAGCCACTAGAGGGCAGAGGGCTTCCTGTGCCAGCTGGAGCCTCCGAGGACCTCCCGGGCTGGGAGCCCCCTCTGACCAGGAGCCAGATCCCAGCTCCAGCTGTGCCCGCACACCTGGAGGTGCCCACAGCCTCCAGCCTCTGCATTATTATAATACTGCTCTGGGGTCTGAGAAAACACCTGTGTTTGCAGGTGGAATGCATGCAGCCACACAACTCCATGCAGCTGCCCGGGGAACTGGACACAGCAGCACCGGGCAATGAACCCTGACAGATGGCATGACACACAGCACAGGCGCGCGCGCGCGCGCACACACACACACACACACACACACACACACACTGACCTGCACACACAGCAGGGTCTCAACCTATCCAGCCATCTGGGTATCAGACACAGGGCGGGAGGAGAAGGGGAGCAGTCGGGTTGAGGGATGAGCTGAGCTGAAGCCCTCGGCCAGCAGAGGGAGCAGGCGCTCGCGGTGGGCGGCGGCCTGGGTCAGACCAGGTGGCCCCGCCCGTTGATGTAGATGCCGTTGCCTGTGGGCTTGGCCCGCAGCGTCCCGTTCTCCTGCACGAAGTGGCTCATGGCCTGCTTGATGCCCTCGTCGCAGTCCTCCTCGGCTGCCCGCTCGCAGCCGGGGCCAGGCGCCAGCAGCTCCGTCTGGGTCTCGATCTCCCGCACGGTGGTCAGCGTGGAGTAGCTGCGGCCTTCGGGCTCTTCGCTCTGGAGGCCAAGGGCAGAGGGCATGTCAGGGACCAAGACAGGGCAGCCATACCCTAGTGGGGCGGGGGGCAAGGTGGGTTGTAGGCCAAGTATGAACAGGGGTCAGGGGTCATGGCTGTCTCAGAGGCACTGGCATGAGGGAGAAGCTGGGAGCAAGTGCAGGGGGTAGGGACGGAAATGCAGCCGAAGGTGGAGCAGGGGGCAGGGTGGGGCTGCCTGAGCCAGGCTGAGGGGCAGGCCAAGAAGGACAGGGAGGGGCCGTGACCCGCCCTGGGAACAGGACAGGAGCCTGAGAGTGGCGGGGACGCGGGGGGCCGGGCCTCACCATCACAGAGCAGCTACTGTTGTCCTTGAGACTATCAGGGTGGCCCTCGGCTCTCAGCCCTACACTCTCCTCCGGCTGCGGGCCCAGACACGGGAGCAGTCAGGCCAGCCAGGCCACCTCTGTCTTCCACCCGCTCCTCCCTGACCACCCCCCCCAGCCCACAGCCAGTCTCTCCTGATGCCACATCCTCGTGCCGCCCCCCAGGATCCCTGCTGGCGGGCTTCCCAAGGACCTGGGGGACGGGAGCACCCAGGGGCGGAGCAGCCATGACCCCGGGGCCCAGCCCAGCCCAGTCAGTGCCAGCCGGACGGAGGGCTGTGCTCCTGGGCAGAGGGGCACCCACCTGGCTCCTGGGGTCCGAGTGGTGGGAATGCAGCCTGCGGATGGAGTTCTCCCTGGTCAGGGTCAGCTCCTCCTCACTGGGAAGGACACCCCTTTGTCAGGAGGGGGCAGGGCGGCCCCCACAGGGAGCCCCGGCCGGCCGCTGGGAGACGGGCCCTGGTGATGTGCTGTCCCTACAAGTGTGCCTGACGGCTGTGGCGCATGCATGCGTGTGCGTGGTGACATCTGGGCACGTGGACCCAACCCTCCCACAGGCAGTGAGGCCCTCCACATCCAGCCATGCCCAGGCCCCGGGCCCCAGAAACCCACCCACTTCCTTTCCTCGGCCCCCCACTGCTGCCGGCCTCTCCCGTCCCCAGGAGCGGCCAGTACTCACTACTTCTGGCTCATCTGCTGGGCCTTGCGCCGATGGTATCGTGACATCAGCACCACCACCACCACCAGGAGGCAGAGCAGGAGCCCGGCGATCACTCCCACCACCACCACGGAGGCCGACACCAGGTCCACCTGCTTCCCCGAGGCCGCCTCGGGGTCTGCTGGAGACAGGCAGCCTGAGCGAGCCCGCTCCGCGCGAGGTCCCCACGGAGCCGCCCCCGCCGCCCGGCCGCCCGGCTCCCCGAGCTCACCCAGCACCTCCACGGTGACCTGGGACTCCCGCCAGGCGAGGTCGTTGCTCACGCGGCAGACGTAGATGCCGCTGTGCTCAGCCGTCAGCGGGGGGAAGCCCAGCGTGTCCCCGTCCGCACGCACCCCGCTGGGCAGAGGCCCGTCCAGCCTGAGGACAGGGAGCTGATGGGGCCGCGGGCCGGCTGCGGCGGCACCGCCGGCGTGCCCAGGCCTCGCTCCCCTCCCGCCCCATGTCGTCACCCAGAGCCGCAGGCTGTTCCCACGGCGCCCCTCCCACCCGGGCAGGTCCAGGCAGAGGCCCTCCTCCCTGCTGCTCAGCCTGACCCGGGCGCCCTCCACACGCGCATGCACCCCACAGGCTCCCACGGCAGCCTGGGCACCGGGCACCCTGGCACGAGTCTGTCCACACACAGGACACTTCATTACCATCTGGGCTCAGACGGCTCGGAAAAAGTGACTGGCGCCCCACCCCCGGCGCCGGGCACAGGAGGGCAGGGCTGGGGCACCGTGGCCTTACACACACACACACACACACACACACCCGCAGCCCTGGACCTCAGACCCCGGAGAAAGCCCAGCGCTCCGGTGGGGAGCGGCGGGAGGGGGCACATGGGGCGGGCACCCCTGGGGGCCACAGGGCGTGGGTTAACAGCAGTGACAATCAGCTGTGCCGTGTTGTCTTACTCTCTTTAGGAACTTTTGTAAACATACACAGCATTAGTATGTGAGCACGTGGTCACGTAAAAGCTAGGGAAAGCCAAGGTCTTCACTGCTGGTTCCCTCGGGTGATCGCGTGCCCAGACCCCGGCCAGCTGGCCGCTCGGGGCCATGGCTGTGCTTCCTTCGGTGGAGGAGCTGTGCCCCATGTACCCGGGACTCAAAATATGTCATCCCAGCCCCTCGTGAGCACATGCTGGCCTCAGAGAGAGCCCTCCCCAGGCCAGGCCCTCACCGTGTCCAGTTGTAGGTGGGCGGGGGCTGCCCCTCACTCAGACACTTGAGCGTGGCACCTTCCCTGCCGGTCTGCCAAAGCTTTTGGTCTTCCAGGCCCCGCACAGAGGCCTCTGCAAGGTCTGGAACGGAAGGTGGAGGGGAAAAACAGCTTTGATCTTGCTGTTCCTTCAAGGGCCCACCCCAGGCTCCACCTACCTGGAAAAGCCTCCCCTGCCTTCTCCTTCCTCCTCACTATGCCAGCCCAGCCCCCACTCCTCTCTGGGGTAGAGGGCAAGGAGCCCCTAAGTGCCTCAGCGTACCAGGGTCACTTCCTCCAAGCCCCTCCCCGGGACGTCCCGCAGAGCTGCACTGGCTCTGCTCCGGGTGCTTGGGAAGCTAAACCACCTACATGCCCTTCATTTCCCTGAGGAGCATCTGCTGAGGAGCCACGCTGGCCACATGCTGGGCCAGCTGAGTCAGAAACATCCTCTTCCCTCAGAGCCCCACACCCACGGCCACCCCGCTGCCCTGCGCACCCCTGCCCTGAGCCTGAGCTGCCCTGCACGCCGGGCTCCTAGTTCCACGGAGCCTGAGCGGGTATCACCTTCCTCTGCGGCGGAGGAAGGGAGGAGGCCGAACAGCAGCTGGTGCCAGCTCGGATCCCCGCCTGGACACCCCCGTTCAGCTCCCAGTTCACGCACGATTCTCCCAACCGCCTTCTACGTCAGGGGCCTGAGGTCATCTGGGTGGCTCCCCCCAGGCCTCACCTCCGCCACAGGACCCGGCTGGCCTGACTGTGGGCTCAGGTTCTCATAGTCTCACCACCCCCCGAAGCCCTGGGGTCCCCCACGACCCCAGCACTCACAGGCCACGTGCAGGGTGTGGGTGAGCCTCTGGTCCTGGAGCAGGCCGGGGTGGGACACCACGCAGGTGAGGGGCCGCCCGTTCATGCTGCGGCTGGGCACCAGGCGGAACTCGGACGTGACAGCCGCCGAGCGGGCGTGCTCAAAGGCGCGGCTGGACATGGTGCCCTTGACCTCTGTGTCCCAGGTCACGTTGGGGGCCGGGCTGCCCTCAGCGGTGCAGGAGGCGGCCAGTGTCAGGCCCTGGCCCTCTTCCAGCGCTGGACCAGGATTCAGGGAGGGCAGGGGAGGCACTGCAGGTGCAGGAGAGGGTCACGGTCTGCACCCCGTCAGGAGGCCCGCCCCACCCCCGTCCCATTTCCACGGCTGCCCAGTTCCAGTCCCCGTTCTCTTGTTTCGCCGGTAAGAAATGCCACGTGAGTGGCAGGATCTCACTGGACTATACTGTCCATTGTTTGTACTTTTTACAATGAGCATGGGTTATTTTTTAATAAAAACAACGAACTAATTAAAGATAACATGGGTATAATAGTAATAGGCAACACTTATTATGCCCTTGCTAAGTGCCAAGCATTATGCTAAACACTTTACAGACAGAATCTCATCAGTCCTGCCAACAAGCCATGAAGTGACAGCTTCGGCTGGGCCATCGGAGGAAGTCGAGGCTCAGGGCGGAAGAGGGTTGGTCCCAGACCCCGGCTCTTAGGTGCTCAAGCCGAGGTCACACTCATATTTCCCTCCAAAGCTGGTGAGTGAAGGGAGATGACAAAGACCCTTTGCACCTTCATACCATCAGCCTGAACCAGGGTGGGAAAGACTTGACCTTGGGTTTGGGGCTTCTGCCGGCCACCAGCGCCAACGGGAAAGCGGTGGCTCACAGGGTCCCTCTGGCCTCTGACCACCCTCCCTGAGGTCCAGGCGAGGGAGCCATAACCCTGCTCCTGACGGCACCTGCCCCCTGGGCCTGCCTGCCCACTCCTGGGCCCCACGTGGAGCCCAGGTCCGAGGGGCTCTGACCAGTGCCTGGGGGCACCTCGGTGAGACCCAGGGGGCGGGCCAGAAGGAGGCACCGGCTGACTGCCCTCGGAGGGCCAGGCCCCGCGGGCTGGGCAGGGACGGGGCCACCGAGGGCGCTGGGGCCAGGGGGCTGAGAGTCAGGTGCAGGTGAGAGCTGGCTGGGCCCTGTCGCCCGAAAGAAACCGAGGAAGGTTTCAGGTCACTGGGAGGAAGAACTGGCGTTAAATGGCTTCTCCTGCGGCTGAGCCGGTGGAACCAAGGCACGGGGTCACTCTGGGTTGCTGAACGGGGTGGGTTGCAGGACCCGCCCTCGGGGCCCCAGCCCCCCCCCGCCCCCGCCCGCCCCTTGGCCCCCCCAGGCTCCCCGCCCCGGCCGGCTCACCCAGCACGCGGAGCCGCAGCCGTGCCTGGAAGCTGCCGGCCGGGAAGGTGCTCACGCGGCACTCGTACTCGCCCTCGTCCGCCTGCACCGCGTTGCGCAGCAGCACCGCGCCGTCCAGCGGGCCGTCCGGGGGGCCGCGCGCGGGCGGCCGCTCCACGCGGCCCTCGTAGGCGGGGCCCACGTGCAGCCCGTACTGCGCGTGCAGCAGCGCCAGCTCCCGGGCGCCCTCGCCCGCCGCGGCGCGCGCCCAGGCCACCTGCGCCACCTGCTCGCCGGGGCCGCCGCGGTAGAGGCAGGGCAGCCGCGCGTCCTGGCCCAGCACCACCGTCACCAGCTCCGGGGCCTCCAGCTCGCCCGCCGGGCAGCGGCCTGCGGGCACAGAGGCAGCGGGTTAGGGGCGGGCGGGCGGCCGCGGCGGAGGTGCTGGCGGAGCACTGCGGCCGCTCCGGCGCCCACAGAGCGGGGGCGGCGCCGTCCCTGTCCCGGGGAGGCCGAGGCCGGGAGGTGCGGCCGCGGGGAGGGGGCTCTGCCCTCGGGGCGCACGGCCGGCCGGGCAGGCTTGCGCCCCCGGAGACGCTTTCAGGGGCCCCGGGGGTGGGAGCCGCGGGGGGCGGTCCGCCCAGGAGGCGGGGTTCCCGCTTGGAGCGGGGCGACCGGCTTCCAGGGAGGGGGAAGGGGGCCCGCCGGCCTGGCGGGGCGGGAAGGCCAGGCCGAGGCTCAGGCGAGCGGCCCGGCGGGCGGGGAGGCCGGGCGGAGGCAGAGGGAGGCGGCGAGGCCGGGCGTCCGAGGCCGTGGTTGGAGCCCAGCCCGCGGGCCTCCCGCCCCGGGCAGAGGTTCGGTGGGTCCAGAGGGAGCGGGTCCGGGAGGCAGGGAAGCGGGAGCCGCACCGGAGCGGGAGGCACGGCTGCCGGGAAGGGGCGGGGGAGGGGCTCAGACCCGCGAAGCCCCTTCCTGCGGCGCCCGCTCCTCCCGCGCGGCTCCCGCTGCGGGGCCTCGCCCGCGGGGCAGAACCTGGGCCTCACGTCCCGTGTGGAGACGGGGGTTCTGACTCAGTGCTTCTTCTGGGGGCCCGTGGGCAGAATTCCTGCTCATGGTTGACACTCAAGCCATGGTCACCGATGGCTGGATTAGTGGCGAGTGAACAAACAAGAGACAGGCAGGAGGTGGGAGGGTGGACCCTGAGGAGCCAGCAGTCTGGCTGGGCTAGGCAGGGAGGGGTGTGCATGGCAACCTTGGGGTGCAGGCAGGACAGACTGGTTAGCTGGGTTCACTGCAAAGGAAAAAAGAAAGGGGTGGAGGCCCGGCCGCTGTGGCTCAGTGGTTGAGCATCGACCCATGAACCAGGAGGTCATGGTTCGATTCCAAGTCGGCCCACAGGCCCGGGTTGCAGGCTTGATCTCCAGTGAGGGGCGTGCAGGAGGCAGCCGATCCATGATTCTCTCCCATCATTGATGTTTCTATCTCTCTCTCTCTCCCTCTTCTCTGAAATCAATAAAAGTATTTTTAAAAAGGCGGGGAGGCAGTGGAGGACAAGCATGGGGGGCAGAGAAGCCCAGCTACAGGGGATCTGAGGGTACCGCAGGCAGAGCCGAGCGGGCAGAGGGAGGGGCGGAAGGGTGCTGCTGGCAGCTGGGAGCGCCTGGAAGGGACGGGACAGACCTGCAGGGCTGGATGCCAGGCCCTGAGCTGCCTGAGCTGATGTTGGTCCCACCCAGCCCAGCCTGGAAGTCCAGCTGCCGCCTTCGCCCCTCCCAGCATGTCCCCTGACACAGGAGGGCAGGGCTGCCCGGCAGATGGCTTCCTCAGCCTCTGCGCCCAGCACTGCCGTCAGCAGGCTGCAGGAGCCAGTGCTCCAGCCGGGCACGGAGCCTTCCACACACTCTCCTGAGAGGACTCAGAGCCACATCGCAACCATCTGACCCGCTCCCCACTGATCACCCACATTCCCCAAAGGTCATTTCATACATGCTGTCCCCAGCACATGCCTGAGCCCAATCCTTCACCCCTACTGTGTGTCCAAGACCCACACTCCCCAGAGACCAGCCCAAGCCTGCCCAGGACCCAGGGAGACAGGCAAGCCCTCTGTACTCCCACAGCCCCGCCGTCCGCAGTCCAGTCCTCAGTGGAGGGACTGGGCTCCAGTGGACCCAGAGCCCAGCCACCAGCCCAGCAGCCTCCTCTCTCCCGCAGCGCCTCCCTGGCATCAGCACGATGACGTCACCAGAGCCGCCTGCCCAGTGAGGTCACTGTGGGCACCCCATGGCCAGGCCAGCCCCGCCCCGCCCCCTCCTGCTGCGCATTGCTGGGGTCTGCCTCGCAGCCTCTGCTGGCTGCACTCCTCCCTCCGACCCTCCCAGCCGCCTCCGGGAGCCCAGGACGCTGGTCAGGAGCCTTGGTGATTCAGCCACAGCCGCCACCAGCCACCACCTTGCGCAAGGGAAAGAACAGGCCCAACTGGCCCAACGAGATCCCTGCCCTCGGCCTCCCCACCCGGCCAGGCCCCACGCCACCAGCTCCCAGACAGCTCCTCCAGGCCTGGCTGCTCCCACCCAGAGCTTTTGTCCCGACTTCCTGGGCGTGAGGCCTGGCCTGTGCCCCAGAGGGCAACTGAGGCTGCCCCCAGAGAGGGTCTCTGGGGAGGGAGGATCTTCCTGAGGGGCCTCTTCCTCCAGCCCCAGGAACTCGGGGGAGGGAGGGGGGGACCAGGAGGGGAGTGAGAGCCTGTGGATCTGGACGTGCAGCTCTGGGTGAGGCCTGGTTGCTCCTGGTGCCAGTTCACACGCACGGGAGGCTGCCTCCTTGCACGAAGGGGTCACTCACTCGTGTTCACGCCTTGCCTTCAGTGAGTGTATGTGCTTGTCTGCATCCGAAGAGCAGTGTACGGGGTGTGCATGTGCCCGTGTCTCACACTCCTGTCCCACTGTGTTGGCGAATGTTTGGCTGTGGTTCCCCTGGTGCCCGCGTGCCTGCCTGTCTCAGCTGCCTGGTCGGTGGCGTGTGGCTGTGTCCATCTGGGATGTCGCCGGTCGCCCTCCCACCTCACCGAGGGGAGTCCCCTCAGGTGGAGGGCCCAGAGGTGAAGTCCTGTCCCTCGGGACGCCCTGGGCAGCTGCCATCACGGGCTTCCCGACAGAACGAGCTGAGCGCTCTCTCCACCCTTGTCCCCAGGCCCCCACTCCTCCCCCAGCCCCCCCAGGGCCCCCAGCACCTGTGGCCTGAGGAGGCCTCTCCCTGGGAACGCCTGCTGCCACCACCCAAGCAACCCTGGCTCTGGCCCGGGTTGGGTGACGGGTTGGTGCCGGTGGTCTGGTGTGGCTGGTGGAGGAGGATGCCGCCCAGAGCTGAGGGAGGGCCCCAGCCATCCAGGGTCTCGGCCTAGTTAACCCTGCCCCACGCCCCACACACCAGCATGCACCCCCCAGCACCGCTGCAGCCTCCACAGAGAGTGAAGCCACCGGGAGATCGGGGAGAAAGGACCTGGAAGGGGGCCTGCTCCTCCCTCCTGGGCAGCCTTGGCCTTGGAGCAAAACCAGGAGCTTCTCCCTCTGCTTCACCTGCCTCCCTCCCTCCCTCCCACTGTCCTAAGCCCCCAGCTTAGCAACCTGGGCACAGCGCCCGCCCACCGATTAGCATCTGGGGAGGGGGCCACAGCAGGAGAGGAGCTGCGCTGACAACAATGAGGCAGGGCAGGCCTGGAGGCAGCCCGCTCAGCCCAGACACAGCTCCCGCTCAGGTAAGTCCCCTAAACCCCCCGGAGCCAGTCTGAGCCTGGCTGAGTCACCAAAACAGCCACACTGTGGGTGGGAGACCCAGAATTCAGCTTCTCCCAAACTCCTGAGATCCTAGCCACCCCACCCCCCACCCTGCCAGCCACCCTCCAAGTGTGGCCAGCTCTGCCCCACCCAAATCCCAGCCTCACCTCAGCTCCCAGCACACACCAATTTGAGGTGAGTGGGGGGAGGGGCCAGGCCAGAGGCCACGGCCAGCTGAGGGGTCCCACCTAGCACCTTCCTCCAGGGCTGTGGCCCCAGTTCCCAGCGTCACCTTCCATTTTTATTCTGTTCCCAGGTCCAGTCGCTGGGCTCCCTCCTGACTCGGCTCCCGGCCGCACCCTCCTTCCTGCGGAGACCTGGTTCGGAGGGCACGTCCGAGAGCCAGAGAGGCAGCCAGGCCTTCTCCCTCAGGAGGCTAATGCTCCACTTTCCCGGGCCCAGGCCCGAGGCCGCAGTCTGGGGGCTGGCCCATGAACTGTGCCATGAGCCCTCCGCCATCTCGGTGGCACTGGGTGGGACTGCGGCCCTGGGGTGCCCCCCTGCGCCTGTGGGTGGGAAGCCGCCTCTTGCTGGCTTCCTGGGGGTTGGGAAACCCTGCAGGAGAGGGCTGCCGTGACAGCAGAGAGAAGTGGAGATGTGCCTCTCTTTCTAGGAAGCCATCCTCAGACAAAAGCTGGTCCTCCCCTGGAGGCCTCAAATGGAGACCCGCCCTGGCCTGCGACCCCCTGGGGCCAGACCCAGCTGGGAAGAGGATCTACTTACTACAGGGTGTCTGGCCACCCCGGCCTCCCGCCCAGGGCAGGAGTGGGGAGGGAGGAGGGAGGGGACCTCACCCGGAAACTCATCTCATTAAAGAGAAACAAAGAGCCTTGGTGCAGGCGCCTCCCCAGCCTCCTCCTCGGCCAGGGTGGGGCAGGCCCTGGGGCTCAGAGCTGTCAGGGCCTGCAGGGGGGCACTAACGGGCTGGGGGCAGTGTCGGGGTGAAGCCAGCGTTGGTCCCACCCAGAGGGACCCCCTTTTATCACCACAGCCAGACTGCCTGCCTCCCGCACCCAGCACCCCTCCGCCACTCCGCCACGGGCCTCGGGGCTGGAGGGCCACAGACACCGCCACTCTGGGTCTCCACAGACTTTCTGAGTTGCCCAAGGCCACCTAACAGATTAAGAGCCAGAACTCAAGGCTTTCAAGAGAGAAACACCGCAGCTTCTGAGAAGGAGCCCAAGCACAGAGAAGCCTGGACTGCGGGGGCCACGGGCAGCTGACGCTCCCTGGAGCCTGCGGTCTGCCTCTCGGCCTGAGCCCTCGCCTGCGGCCGTGACAGCAGCACCAGAGGCTCCCTGGGCACCAGCCTGGTGTCCTGAAGCCAGGCTGCTACCCACCATTGGCACATCCCCTGTCTGTCTGTCAGGCCTGGCCAAGGCCAAGGCCGCCCTCTCTAGAAGCCCTCCCTGGGCTTCTCTTCGAACAAGCTCTGGGTCATGGAAGGGGGCAGGGAGGGTCTCGTTCAGGACGGCCTAGTTCTAACCCTGAGGGAGTCAGTTTTCTCCGGGCAGTGAGGGAGTTGGAGCTGCGACCTCTCTGATCCTGCCCCATCCTCGAGGTGTGGGCAGGTCCTGCCAAGCCGCCCGGCCCCACCTTCTGGGCCTGAGCGAGTGAGAGGGCTCTGTGGAGAAGGGAATGGGGGGGAGGGGGCGGTGGGGGTAGAAGCTCAGTGCCTTATGATTGGAGGCTGGGCCAAGACCCCTCCATCTTCAGGTGGAAGGAGAGCAGCCCCCCACCACACACACAGCCAGGCTCGCTGCCCTGACAGCCGGGGGGGAGGGCCATCCCGGCAGGTGCAGCAGCAAGGACCCTGCTGGACCACCAGGCTGTGGCTGCTCCTGGGCCTGGGGTGAAACAGTCCTAGGCAGACCCGAGTCCCAAAGGGAAGGGTGTCTCGGTTACTCATGGCCCACGTGATCCCATGGGGTCCTATCCCGTCCGAAGCTCCTGTCATTCCCATCGGCTTCATACATCAGACAGTCCGCCAGGAAATGGGACAGGAATGAGCAAAAGGGAACCACACCTGGCTAGAAGGCGCCTCCTAGCCCCCAACTCATCTGAGCAGTCACATCGTCCCCACACTGGCATCTGACTGTGTCCGGGGAAGAGGGGCCATTGCCCCTCCAGCGCCTGGTCCTGGGCTTGGGGAGAGAAGGAGCAAGAACCCTGTCCCTCTCGGGCATCAGCTCCCCACACCCATGACTGGAACCCGCTCACCCCTGAGTCAGCCTCGCACCATCAGCAGTTCCCGGCTCAGAGGGAGTGAGGGCTCCTCCCGGACCTGGTGAAGGGCCCGGCCCCCGCTGCCCGGCCCCTCACCCTCTCCTCCCAGGCCTCAGCAGGAGGGGGCCGTGGGGCCGGCCGGCAGCTGGGTGGGAGAGGGTGGGTCCTCAGTCAGGCCTGGGGGGCGGGGGCCTGGCGGCTCAGAAGTGAGGGTCCTGTGGCTCCGGAGGCCTACCTGCCAGTGACGCCAGGAGCAGCAGCAGCAGCCAGGCCTCAGGCCCCCGCATGTCGGCTCCCCGGGCCAGGGGCATGGGTCCCCCGCGGAGCTGGCCTGCGTTCCTCAGGTGCCGCCGGGCGCGCCCGGGGCTCCAGCTCTGGGGCTGGAGAGGGCGCTGGCCGGGGCGGGAGGGTCACAGGTCCGGGCCCTGGCACACCTGCCCGTCCTCCTGGGGCTCCCCTAGGGGACCGGCCCGTCCAGCAGCCGTGATGGGAGCTCCGAGCTCCCCCAGAGCTGCTTCCCACGCCGCGGCCAGCAGCTCGGCAGAAACTGGGAACCTGCTCAGCAGGTCAGAACAGGTGCGTCTGGGGGCCGGGCCTGGCACACGGGCTGCAGCCGCGCCCCCTGGCCCGGCTAATGGGCGCTGGGGAGGGAGGTAGGGAGGGAGAGGAGGCCCTTGGATCCCACCCTCAGCTCGAGGCTTCACCTGGCAGCACGCAGGGCCCTGAAGAGAGGCGAGCAGGGGGGGCGGCGCCGGTGGCTGGAGAGAGAGGCGGCAGGAGCAGGGCAAGGCCCCTCGGCGGGAGGGCGCCTGAGCATCCACACCTGCCAGCCGTCGGTCTCCGAGGCTCAGCATCAGGGGAGGCAGAACCAAGGACAGAACCTGCCCATCCCCCATCCCTCCGAGGAGAAGGCGGGAGGGGAGAGGGGAGGTGCTGGAGGGGGCGTTTGCTCAGACATCCCCCCTCTGAGACCTGGTAGGGAGTTAACCCTGCCCCACGCCCCACACACCAGCATGCACCCCCCAGCACCGCTGCGGCCTCCACAGAGAGTGAACGGGGAGAAAGGACCTGGAAGGGGCCAAGGCTGCCCAGGAGGGAGGAGCTCCTGGTAGGGAGCTCGTGCAAAGACTCCTCAGAAGGAACTAAGGCGAGCCCCGGACCCCTCGTATGTAGGAGATGATGCGAGATTGGCCAGGCCCTCTCAGCGCCACCCCTTCTGGACCTGGCCTGGAGCCCGACGTGCAGACTCCCTTCCCCTCAGCGCCGGGTCGTGCATTCACCCCTCGGCTGGACGAGGCAGCGCCTCGGAGTGAGCTCCTCTCCGGCGAGGCTGGGTGCGGCCTGCCCACGCTCACGCCTCCTCCCGGCTCCGCTGCAGCTTCCGGTCAAGTGGCACCGAAGCCAGCGTGTGCGCCGTGAGGGCCGGGCGGGCTGGGTCTGTGAGCTCGGAAGGCAGGTTCGCCTCACAACCTGTCTGCGTCCCGCGGGACGGTCGCGTGCAGGGACCGAGTGCGTCTTCGTTAACGGCAGGGACCAGGAAAGGGGTGTCGTGTGGCCTCGCTCTCCATCCCTCTCAGCAATGACCGTGGCCGTGAGCTCTTCAAGGGCAATAAGGGCCAGGCTGGACCCCAAACTCCATTTCTCCCCACGGCCCCTCGTGAGCCCCTTCCAGCCTCAGGACCCAGGCCGGGGTTGGGGTGAGGGCCGAGAGCAGCCCCGCCCTGACGCTGCAGGAGCCGGGGCGGGTGGGGTGGGGACGGAGGGCACCTGGGCCGTGATGGTCCTGGTCGGACGTGGGCCCTGCTTCCTGGCTGCCGGGGAGCCTTTTCCTTCCCACAGACTCACCTCCGGGCCCGGGAGCCGCAGGGAAACTGAGGCCTGGGTGGAAAGCAGTCTGATCACAGGCAGTACCAGGCCGTGTCTTGTCAGCTTCCCCAATCAGCATCACCCCACAGTGCTGCCAGTCAGTCACCCCAAGTCCATAAGGTGCCATAGACGGTGTACTGCCAGCTGGTATGAGGCCAGGGTGGGTGGGCCCGAGGCTAGGGGTGCCCGGCAGGGGGAGGGCCTCTCTTGTCCCCTCCTCGGCCTCCCTGGGAGCCCCCACCCCCGAGCTGGACCCAGTGCCCCTCAGGCCTCTGCCCCCTGCCTGGGATGAAGCCGCTGAGAGAGGTGGCTGGGAGGGCCTCCAGGCCAGGCCTGGTCTCCTGGGTGCGCACTTCCTTTCTCACAACCCCATGCCCTCATGCCTCACCCCCCCCACACACACACACATTCTGGGTCCTAAGAATGGGGACAAGCGCCTGCTGAGTGGGCCCCGCGTGCGGCCGGGCCGGGCACCAGAGTCCCGCCCGTGGCAGCGTGGGCATCACACCGTGCCGCCCGAGGCCTGCCCAGGAGCCCCCCGCAGACGGACACGCAAGCAGAACAGCCCGGGCCCGGCCGCCCCTCACGCCGGTGAGCTGCCCGTCCTCGGTGCCCATCGCCGGCAGGTGCCACCGATCGCCCAGCCGTCCGTCGCGGCGGCACACGGCGCCAAACCGGTTGGAGCGGGCTGGGCTGCAATGTCTGCTTGTGAACGTGGACTTGGAAGTGAGTCAGGCGGCCGGGGCGGGCGGGCGGAGAGCGGGGCACAGTGAGGGTCAGGCCGGTGGGCGGTGGAGGCGGGTGGGGCAGCTGGTCTGTCTGGTGAGCCGGGTGGGAGGGCCGGGCTGAGGGTGCTGGCTCTGGGTGAGGCGGAGGTGGGAGCGGCGGAGCGGCTAAGGGGGCCGGGCCCGCAGCCCCCCTGCCCGGCTCCCCTCCGCTCGGGCCGGGCCGGGCTGGTGCTGCAGGGGGGGGGGCTGCCTCCATCCCCAGGCCACCCTCTTGCTCCTCCCTAGGGCGCTCCTGTCCGTGGGGGGGGAGGGGGCGCACAGAAAGCAGGGCTCCAGCCCCACCCCCTCCACGGAGCACCTCCCCTCGCCGCAGGGTCGCCGTTTCTCAGGACGCGCCTCTGCTGCTGCCGCCAGCCTGTCCCCCAGCGCAGCCGTCCTTTCCTGACAACCACACTCCCTGTCGCTCGGGGCGGGCCCACCGGAGGGGTGTGTGTGTGTGTGTGTGTGTGTGTGTGTGTGTGTGCGCGCGTGCAGAACCCCAGGCACTCTCAGCAGGTGCCCGCCTTCCGTAAGTACAGGCTCAGAAGATGCTGGATTCTTTGTCCTGTGCCTCTGGGGGGCTAGCACTTTCAGAATGTTCTGGAAAGAGGAGAAACAGGTCCTGGCTGGAGTAGGATGAGAGGAGGAGCCCCGTGGAATCTTCCACAAGGTGTCAGCAGCAGACTCCCCCACCAGGAGAAGGTAAGAGCGAAGGTGGGTGGGTCCTGCGATTGGTGGCAGTGGATCTGTCCAGGCGGGGCTCAACCTATGCATAGGAGGTCCCGGTTCGATTCCCAATCAGGGCACAGGCCCCGGTTGAGGCTTGATCCCCAGGGAGGGCTGCAGGAGGCAGCTGATCCATGATTCTCTCTCATCATTGACGGTTCTGTCTTTCTATCCCTTCCTTTCTCTGAAGAAAAAAAAAATGACCCATGGCCAAAACCGGTTCGGCTCAGTGGATAGAGCGTTGGCCTGCGGACTGAAAGGTCCTGGGTTCGATTCTGGTCAAGGACATGTACCATGCACATCCCCAGTAGGCGGGGTGTAAGGGCCAGCTAATCGATGATTCTCTCTCATCAGTGTTTCTAACTCTCTATCCTTCTCTGTAAAAAATCAATAAAAAAAATATTTTTTAAAACGACCAATGGGCTCAGACACCAGGGGTGAGGGCATGAGTATGTGCATGTGGGGGGGGCAATGGGGCAATAAGGATACACATGTAATACTTTATTCTTATTTTTTTTATGATATATTTTTTTAAATCAATCTTTATTGTTCATATTATTACAAAGGTTCCTCATTTCTTCCCCCCTCCACCAGGTTCCCACCCCACCCTCCGCCCCCTCCCCATCCCCCATTGTCCTCATCCATAGGTGCAGTTTATGTTCAGTCTCTTCTTCCCTCAATTTCCCCAATAGTAAATCCCTTTTCAGATAGTAAATCAGTTACTTAGCATTTTCTCATATCAATAATACCTCCACTTGCCCAATGATACACTTCACACAAAAGACATTTCCCAATAGGTCCACCAGCCTCATCCAGGCCCCACCCAAGGCACTCACAGATCAACACCCCAGCCCTATACTAACTAACACATCCAGATCTAAGCCTTCATCACTTGATTCAGCAGACACTCAAGTTCCCACGAAAGTTTCCAGCCATGTCTGAGAGGCAGCCGTGGGGCAGGGGCAGGCGAGGAGCGAGCTGTTTCGGGCCTGGCTGCTCCGGGCCTGGCCTCTGTTGCTCTGGTTCGTTCCACAACCAGCTGATCCGGGTCTGGTCACTGCCGCTCCCGACCTAGTTGCTCTGGACTTGGCTGCTGCTGCTCCGGGCCTGGCCGCTCCCAGCCTGGCAGCCGCTGCTCCGGGCCTGGCCGCACCCGACCCGCCTGCTCCCCCGGGCCTGGCCGCTCCCAGCCTGGCAGCCGCTGCTCCGGGCCTGGCCGCACCAGCCCCGCCTGCTCCCCCGGGCCTGGCCGCTCCCAGCCCGGCAGCCGCTGCTCCGGGCCTGGCCGCACCCGACCCGCCTGCTCCCCCGGGCCTGGCCGCTCCCAGCCTGGCAGCCGCTGCTCCGGGCCTGGCCGCACCCGACCTGGCTGCTCCCCCGGGCCTGGCCGCTCCCAGCCTGGCTGCCGCCGCTCCGAGCCTGGGCACTCCCAGCCTGGATGCTCTGGGCTTGGCTACTGCTGTTCTGGGTCTGGCTGCTCCCACCCCGGCTGCTCTGGGCCTGGCTTCTCCGGGCCCAGCCACTCCGGGTCTGGTTGTTCCTGGACTGGCCACCTTGGGCTTGGCCGCCTCCACCTCAGGCCTGGCTGCCATTGCCCCAGGTCTGGCTGCTCCAGTGCTGGCTGTTGATGCTCTGGTCCTGGCTGCTGCTGCTCTGGGGCCTGGCCGTTGCTGCTCCGGCCTTGTGCCTGGCCACTCTAGACCTGGCCGCCGCTGTCCCAACATTCTGTCCTTTTTTTTTTCTTTCTTTCTTTTTTTTTTTTTTCAAAACGCATTTATGTTGCAATGTTGGCTATTGAGTTGAGTTCTGACTTAGTCTTTGATTTTTCAAGAACTTCTTTGTATTCTTTCTTAAGTAATTTTACTATCTTTTGCTCTCACTTGATTTCTTCACATTGAGAACTTCTTTGGTTTCTTCCTCCTTGTCCTGGGAGCTCAGCAGGTTGGCCCGTGGCACCCCTTTGTTCTCCGCGGGCTCCTGCGCTGCTTTAGCCTGTTGCCGGGTACGGCGCCGCCCAGGAAGCAGCCCCCGGCCTTGGCTCCATTGCCCGTGCTCAGTGGTGGAAGGCTCAGGGGCACCCCCCCCAGGGCCCCGTCGCCAGGCTCCTGGCTGGTGCCCGGCTGGCCGGCGTCCGGCAGGGGCTCCCGCTCCCCGCCGTGTTCCCCCAGCCCGGAGCTTTTTTTCTCCTTCCCGCTAGGGGAGTCTAGCATCAGAGTCAACAGACTGTCCTCTGGGCGCAGTTTGCATGAGTCCTGGAGCCCGGCCTTTCGCTGCTCTCCCCGGACTCCACCTCACAGCCCCGTCTCCCTCTGCCTGAGCCTGGGTCCCCAGGGATTGCCCCAGAACTGGGGTTTGGAGCAGTCAGGACTGAGGCCCAGCGCCGCCGGAGGCCTTGTTTCTTCCGGCAAGGGTAACCCAGCATCAGAGTCAACATTCAGTCTTCTGCGCGCGCACTGCGCGAGACTCCGGGCGCCCTGCTTTTCGCCGCTCCCCTGGGATTCCGCTCACAGCCCCGTCTCCCCCTGCCGGAGCCTGGGTCCCCAGGGTCTGGCCCATAACTGGGGCTCAGCACTGCCGGTTCGGAGGGCTCAGTGCTGCCGGGTTCGGGGGTTCAGCCTAGGCTGGGGGTTTTATTTCCTTCCTGCTAGGGAAGGAAAGGCGGCTCCCCGCCCTCTCCTCCTCTCCGGCTGCGACCTCTCCGCGCGCGTGCTGGTGGGCGCGGAGCATGTCTCCGTACCTTAGGCTTTTTTTCAGCTCCTCTGATTTTCCTTCTGGTTTTCTCTTTCCTTCTTGTTGTAGAATTTTCAGTCAGTTGACTACCTGTAGCTCTGGGCAATGTCCACTCTACATCTTAGTTGTATTCCATTGAAATTGTTGTGTGCTGCTGCAGCTAGATGTCTACCCGAGCAGCCATCTTGGATCTCCTCCACATGTAATACTTTAATCAATAAATAAAAATTAAAAATAAGTAAGTGGCTGCTCCTGGGACATTCCAAAGCTCTTGTCAAGGCAGTCAGAGGGCTGGTTCTGTTCAGCGTCACAGACAGAGAGCAGGCAGACCCAGAGAGAGACACGGGCGTGGACGTGGGAAAAGACAGACCTCAAGGCGCAGCGAGGCCGGCGACCAGAGACAGAGACTCAGAGGTGCACACAGCATCAGCCACAGGGTTGTTCAGACTGAGCAGCTGAGACGGATGAACCGCCAACACAGAAAGCCCGAAGGCCGGTTCTGAGTTCCTACACTGCTGGGGGCACTCAGGCACTTCCCTCCGCCCTCAATATTTTATGTTTTTAAAAATACATTTTAAAATTGATTTCAGAGAAGAAGAAGAGAGAGAGGAAAGTCAATGATGAGGGAATCATTGATCCGCTGCATTTGCACGCCCCACACTGGGGATTGAGCCCACAGCTTAGGCATGTGCTCTGATCAGGAATTGCACCTTGACCTCCTGGTTCATGGGTCAATGCTCACCCACTGAGCCACGCCAGCCAGGTTCTGCCCTCAATTTTTTATTTATTTATTTTTTAAATATTCTCTTTTTTAAAAATATATATATATATATTTTATTGATTTTGTACAGAGAGGAAGGGAGATAGAGAGTTAGAAACATCGATGAGAGAGAGTCATCAATCAGCTGCCTCTTGCACACCCCCTACTGGGGATATGCCCGCAACCAAGATACATGCCCTTGACCGCAATCTAACCCGGGACCCTTTGGTCCCCAAGCCGACGCTCTATCCATTGAGCCAAACCGGTCTCGGCTCTGCCCTCAAATTTTGACCACTCAATAGGGGCCCAGTGATACTTTAAAAAAATATATATATATATTATTGATTTTTCACGGAGAGGAAGGGAGAGGGACAGAGAGCTAGAAACATCAATCAGCTGCCTCCTGCACGCCCCCTTCTGGGGATGTGCCCGTAACTAATGTACATGCCCTTGACCAGAATCGAACCTGGGACCTTTCAGTCTGCAGACTGACACTCTATCTACTGAGCCACACCGGTTTCTTATTCAATATCACCAAGTCCCTCACAAACTCAAGTTCTCTCCCATCCTTATCCATCTCACCACCATTTTGTAACTCACCAATTTCTCCCCAAGAGGCTGCTCCTGGCAGCAGGTCTCGGGAGGGCTTAAGACCTGGCCCTTGCTGTCATTCCCCTGTCCTTCTGTTTGTCCATCCACGTCTTCTTTCTGGCTGAGCTGAGTGGAGGTGTGAAGGCATGAGGCCAGCTGTCGCCTGGCCAGAATGAGCTGCAGGGGGTATAGAAGGGTCCAGAACAGAGGAAGACCCACAGAAAGGACAGGAATGTGAGGGAGCCTGGGAGACAAAGGCGGAGAGAACTTGGGGATCTCCAGAGTGTGACTGACACCCGCAGGTCCACTGTCAGCTGTGTGAACTGAATGATGCTGAGAACCAGGATGGGTCAGTCAGAAGACGGGGTTAAGGCAAGAAGAAACCAGACTGAGAGCTTTGTGAAGGGTTGCACCCAGGAGACAGATTTGGGGCGAGGACAGACCCAGACTCAGTCTGAGAAGCTGGGCTGCAGGAGCCTTGCTTGTCCAAACAGGTCAGTTGAGGGTCCTGCCAGGATTACATTTTCAGGATGACCGGCCCAGCCCACGCCTGGGTACCAGTGAGAGCAGGTCCAGGGCAGGAAGAACCTCACTCCCCACCTCCCGCCCCCCACCCCCTGCAGCCCTTTCTCAATGCCCTTTGGTCTGTTGCACTGTCAGGACCTCAGAGAGGTTGCCCTGGGGTGAAGGGATGTGACAAACACGTCCTGCTTCTTTTTTTTTTAATTTTTTAAAAATTGATTTCAGACTGGAAGGGAGAGAGAGAAACACCGGTGATGAGAATCACTGATCGGCTGCCTCCTGCACACTCTTCAATGGGAATCGAGCCTGCTACTCGGGCCTGTGCCCTGACCAGGAATGGAAGCATGACCTTCTGGTTCATAGGATGATGCTCAACCCCTAAGCTATGCAGGCCAGGCCAGATTGGCTTGTTTCCCTTTTCTCTCTTTTTTTGGCCTTTTTAAATTTGATTTTTAATTTTTTTTTTTATTACCTGGATTTTTCCCCTGCCTCCTCTAGTAGTAAAATCTGAGGTTGGTTTCAGACTAACCAGGGAAGGAGCTTCAGTGTCTGGATGCCACCTCAAAGGAGGTGCAAAACCCAGGAGTGAGTGAGGTTCGGCCTCTTGGCCCAAGTGAGAGGCCAGCTGTGCAGACAGAGTTAAAGGGGCCTGGGGAGGAGTGGAAGGCCCTCCCTGGGTGCGGGAGTCCCTGTTCTGTCCAGGAGAGGCAGGAAGTAAGTCCAGCAGAAAGAACAGCCAGATTTAAGCTAAAGTAAGAGCCCCGAATGGGCATTACAAGCCCATAAAACTTAAGCAAAATGACCCTCCTCCAGGCATCTCCCTTGCTAAGTCCGAGGACTGGGGCAAGCTGAAGCCAGCTGTGGGGAGGTTACCCAGGCACAGCCTTCGGGAAAGGACTGGCTCTCACACTTTAGCCAAGAACATTAGAAGTTAGGGATTGCTTAGAGGCTTTTAACAAGAGCTGGGAAGACAGAATCCTCCATATCAGAATCAGGGAAAGCAATAGTTGGGTGAGCAGAGACTTTCAAAGCTCTTATTGAGTCTCAGCTTTAAAGTAAGCGTGGGACAGGTCCCTGCAACCTCCCAGGCTCCGCCTGTGCCTTCCTAACCATACCTGCCCCCTCCTGCCCCGATGGAGAGCAGGGGGGGCAGAGCCTGCTGTGCTGTCCGATCCCAGGGCAGCCCTGCCGAGGCCTCTGAATGGAGTCCAGCGATGAGCAGAACCGGACGCCGCGGCGCCTCTCCGCGGGCCATGGCACGGGCCTCGCCGCCCGGACAGCGCAGCCGGGACACGCCCTGCTGCTCCCTCCCAGCTGTGTCCGGACAATTCTGCGTTCCTGCTGCCGCTGAAACCAGCCGCTTGGATCTGGACCTCTCCGTTCTCCCCTGCTCCTGGGGGACGGGAGAGACACCGCTGGGGATCTGCCTGAATAAAAGGAGACCAGGGAGGGCAGGGGTGTGTTCCCTCGAACCACCCCACTCGCCCCATCCAGCTCCCGAGTTCGGGCAGCTCCACCTGGATCGCATCAGGAGGAACCCCTGCCCTTGCAGTGGTCGGCAAACTCATTCATCAACAGAGCCAAATATCAACAGCACAACGGTGGAAATTTATTCTGAGAGCCACATTTTTTAAACTCACACTTCTAACGCCACTTCTTCAAAATAGACTCGCCCAGGCCGTGGTATTTTGTGGAAGAGCCACACTCAAGGGGCCAAAGAGCCGCAGTTTGCCGACCACGGTTGCATCCTGGGGCCTAGCAGCCGCATCCCCGCGTGGCCTGACCTGGTCTCCAAGGCCGCGGGGACCGCAGTCCGGAGAGGGAGGTCTGCTGCCCCCCAGCGGCGAGCCCCGGCCCGCCCCGCCCGCGGGGGCCGCGAGGAGGCGCCGCGGAGGCCAGGCGCGGCTTCCGGCCGGGGGGCGCCGCCTCCCAGGGTTTCCGGCCCCGGCGCTCCTCGCCCGCCGCGGCGGCGGCGTTGCCGGGCGACGCGGGGAGCGGCGCCGGGAGCTGGGACCGGCCGCCGCGGCGCCTCCGCGGGCCATGGCGGCGGCGCCCCCGGGCGGGGCGGGGGGCTCGCGCTGGACCTGGCGGCCGGTGGCCCGGGACGCGCTCCTGGCGCGGGCCTTCCACTCGTGCACCGAACTGCGCGGCCGCCTCTACCTGGTGGGGGGCCTGCTGGCCGGAGGCGCGGCCGCGCCGAGCGCCGACACGGTGGTCCTGGACCCGGCAGGGCCGGCCGTGCGGGCGGGGGCGCGGGGCGGCCCGCGGCGCAGCCACCACGACGCGGCGGCGCTGGGCGGGCGCTGGCTGTGCGCCGTGGGCGGCTGGGACGGGGCGCGCCGCCTGGCCGCCGTGGCCGCCCTGGACGCCGAGCGCGGCGAGTGGGAGGCGTGGGCCGCGGCGCCCGGCAGCTGCGCCCCCGCCGGCCTCAGCAGCCACACCTGCACCCGCCTCTCGGACCGGGAGCTGCGGGTGGCCGGCCGGGAAGGGGGGACCCGCACTCAGCGTCGCTACGGAAGCATCTACACGCTGAGGCTGGACCCCGGCGCCCGCACCTATAGGTATGGCCCCGGGGCCGGCGGTGTGGCCCTCCGCCCCAGGCCCCCTCTGACCCTCGGCAAAGGGGGTGGGGAAGGCAGCTGAGTTTCCGGACCCCCCCCCCCCCCCCCCCCCCCGGCCGCCGACCGAGTGGCCTCCTCAGCTACAGGGAAGAGAGCTGCCGCTCCGCCTCCCGCTCCGGGCACTGCGCCGCGCTGCTCCCCACGCCCGGGCCCCGCCCGGGCCACCAGCTGCTGCTCTTTGGAGGCTGCGACTCGGCCGAACCGGAAGTAGCCGGGCACTGGCGCCACGGGGAGATCCGGGTACTACTCAGGCCTTGCTTAGGGTGGGAGGCAGTTACAGTGGCGCTCAAACCCCTCCAGACAGTCCCTTCTCTCTCCCCAAGGAGGAAGCGCCTGCTGCCCCCCTTTTAACGGAACAGCTGTCAAAGCTCGTGAGCAGCGGGCAGGGGTCCCGGCATGGGCCTCGGGGCCTCCGGCATCATTCATGCTCTGTGGTCGGGCCCTTTGCTGTGCTGTTTGGTGGAGAGACTCTGACCAGAGCTAGAGACACCATCTGCAACGACCTCTACATCTACGATGCCCGTGAGAGCACATTCGATGACTGGTTGAGGGGAAAGGTCGGAAGACAGGAGAACCTGAAGAGCATAGAAAGGGGTAGTGATGGAGGGGGGAGAAGGAAGAATTAGTTGACAAGTTAAAGGAACACAGAATATTAAATTTTGAAAAACCAGAGATCAAGTGAGGAGGGAAAAAGGGGCGAACCTTTGGTCTAAGCCCGAGTGACCAACTGCTTCCTCCCCATAACCACCACCTCTGCCTCACCCCGCAGGCAGGGCTCCTTCCCTGTGGTTCCGCTTCCCCTGTGCAGACCGCGCACTGAAACGCGTGGGCCACCGGACCTGCCTTTGGAATGACCAGCTGTACCTGGTGGGGGGTTTTGGGGAGGACGGCAGGACAGCCAGCCCACAGCTGTGCATCCTGGACCTCTTTCTGTAAAGAGCGTGCCAAGACGCGCTGCCAGCCACTTTATCATAAGCTCATAGCATTATCACCAGAGCTACCTGCCTGTCAAATGCTTTTTTTCCTCTCATTTTTTTTTATTGAGGTATAATATGTGTACATGCCTTACCAATTCCCACCCCAGCCCCACTCCCATACATGCCCTCCCTTCCCAGAATTTTTCGCCCATTGGTTATGCTTATATGCATGCATACAAGTCCTCAGGTTGATCTCTTAACTCCCCCATATCTCCCTACCCTCCCCGCTGTAATTTGACAGTCTGTTTCTTTTTCAAATGCTTATTAAATTTCCATCTAACAGCCAACATTTGTCTCTGAATCTTTTGGGGTGGAGGGCAGTAAGTAGACACATCTGTCTTGGCCAGTGTGCTCAGTGGTCAGGGTTGGCCCTGCACACAAAAGGGTTGATTCCCAATCTGGGGCACATACTGAGGGTTGCAGTTTTGGTCCCCAGCACCAGTCCGGTCAAGTTAAGGAGGCAACTAACTGATGTGTGTCCCCCATTCCCCACCCTGCCCTTCCCTTCCACTCTCTAGAAATATCAATGGGAAGAAATACCCTTAGGTGAGAATTAAAAAACAAAAACGGTAGAGACATCTGTGTATGCAGGCAAAGGATGAAGCAGGGCCCTCTGAGACTGTGGCCATTAACCTGAAGGGACAGTCACATGCCCTTCCCGGCCCCAGGCAATCCTATCCCTCCGGTGGAAAGAGAGCTTCAGGCTAGAGATACGCATTCTGACTAAAACATTTAATTAACAAAAAATATTATAACAGCAGAGGAGATAACCATGAGAAACTGGAAGGAGGAGTCAGGTAGGAAAAAATGCAAAGGCCTTGGTCCCTAGGAGACCAACACTCCAGCGGAGCTGGCCTTCGCCCCGGCTCCTTCTGAGTTCTCCTTGGCTGGCTTCTCATCTTCGCCCATGAGTCGAATATTGTGCTTTTCCCGGAATTCATTTAATTCTTTTCCCTTTGCCTGAAGCTGCTGAGTCAGTGTCTCAATGATCTTCTGTATCTAGAAGGCAAGGGACAGACAGTACTCAGGATTTCCATCCCCACCCTGGTATGGGCTAGGGAAGTGAAGACAACATGACCTCTCCAAACACACCTTTAACCAGATAGTAAAGTAGAGTCAGACACTAAAACTACTGCTTCTCAAACACGAGGTTTCATAAACCCTAGCAGACACAAGGGTCCCATGGACTGCTTGTTTTTTTCCTAATATATTTCTATTGATTTCAGAGAGGAAGAGAGAGAGAGAGACATCAATGATGACAGGGAATCATTGATAGGCTGCCTCTTGCAAGCCCCTCACTGGGGACCAAGCCCAAAACCCAGGCATGTGCCCTTGACTGGAGTCGAATCCAGGACCCTTCAGTTGCAGGCTGATGCTCTATTTACTGAGCCAAACCAGCCAGTACTTATTTTATTTTTTTAATAATAAAAAATATTATTATTATTATTAACAATTTCAAGTTTTTATTATGAGGACCACAGTGCCATTTTTAAAAAATATATATTTTATTGATTTTTTACAGAGAGGAAGAGAGAGGAATAGAGAGTTAGAAACATCGATCAGGGAGAATCATCGATCAGCTGCCTCTTGCACACCCCCTACTGGGGATGTGCCCGCAACCAAGGTACATGCCCTTGATTGGAATCGAACCTGGGACCTTTCAGTCCACAGGCTGATGCTCTATCCACTGAGCCAAACTGGTTTCAGCGGCCAGTGCTTGTTTTTAAAATGCCACTTCATGGGCCCCAGCTCCAAAGGTTCTGAACCAGGACAGGGTCTAGGAAGCTGTGTTTCAAATTAGTCCTTCAGCTGATATGGACGCAGGTATCCATGGAAACACTGCTCTCACCACCTCTCCTCCCCAAATCAGCCAGGAACAGAGGCATACAGCCTCTCGTCTATGAGTTGGACCTAGTGTAGCATGAAGAGCGGAAGCTAAGAGGCTACTCAGACTTCCTGCACCAATCCCCTCAATCCCTGCCCTCCTCTTCCCTCTCCCGTGGTTGCCCAGAGCTCTCCTTGACTCGCTCACCTGCTCCTTGTTGTTCTCCAAGGCAGGCAGCACCTCTTTGACAGTGCGCTCCACCAGCACCCCTCCAACCATACGGAAGCACTTGCGGGTCTCATCCACCTCCTTAAGCGTATCGATCACGAGGCTGGGGCAGGACAGCACAGGGTCTGAGAATGCAGGTCCTGCTCCTGCAGCCCTCCCCACAGAAGCCCAGCCTCCCGGCGGCCTCACCTGTGCTCATTCAGCTCCATCTCCAGCTCGGCTGCCTTTGATGCCAGGCCCCGCTGTTCCTGCCGAAGGCGGTTGAAGCCAGCAATCACCTAAGGTGAGAGACGTAAGTTAGAGAGGAGGCAGTGGAAATGGCATAGGGTCAAGACACAACATGTTATCAAAGGCGTTACAAAGATGCAGTGGAGGACACCTACCTTGGAAAATGAGAGGACACACGTTTGCAATTGCTAACTTAGGTCTGCTAGAATTCCATTCACCCAGCACTTCCTGAGTGCCTAATGTGTGACACCTGCTGGTCCACCTTGCAGTAACAGCTGGTGAGGAGTTGCAACTATAATTTAGGATCACCTACAGAGAGAGGAGTGTAGACTCGCAGGTAAAGGGGAGTCAGGAAAGGCTTTGTAATGACTAGGTCCTGCCTGGGTGTGCCCAGCACCCCTCCCATGGGGGAACTGTCTCTCCTTAACACAGTGAGGTTCTTGGGGGCGTGGGGAGCTACTAATCATAGGGCCTTGTTTCCTGACCCCAGGGCAGTGACCTGTTCTGTGCTAGTTTCTCCACGGGAAGTAGGTTTTGGATAGAGATGAGCAGATACAAAAAGTCAATTAGAGCTAAGACATCTTGTTGTCCTTTGTGTGAACTAGTTATCTGAACTTTCTTATACTGATGCCCCCCTTAAAATCAATAAAAATATGTCCTTGGGTGAGGATAAATATGTGAAATACACATTCTTCCCTTTCTACACACACACACACAAAACCATTAAGGAGGGGAAAGGCCTCTCAAAGAATATACTCCAAAAGATTAAGAATAGCAAGATCATGGGTAATTTATTATTTTGTATTTTTTTCTGTATTTTCTACATTTTCAATAGAATAATATATCCTGTGATTCTCCTACTGTTTATATTTTTAAAAATCCGGAGAAACCAAGATGGCAGCATAAGGTAAACACCTAAATGTAGCCTACCACAACAATTTTGAAATTACAACTGGAAAACAGAGCGGATATCGTCCAGAACCACCAGAAAGCTGGCTGAGTGGAAGCTCTACCAACTAGGAAAAAAGAGAAAAGGACGCTGAGCCTCAGGAGCTGTGGAGGTGCGGAGATCTGTGAGAGTGGAAAGGGTGGAAAGGGCGGGTGGCTGAGTATGCTGTTGGCTTACTCGCGACACACAGGAGAGGGCAGGCAGCTAATGTGCAGCTAGCTTTCTTGTTGGGGAGGAAAACAAAATCTCCCTATTGCACTGATATCCAGCTCTGGTCAGGGAGAAATTGGACTGTCCGACAGCAGGCAAAACTCGAGGGCAGTCTTCTCTCAGAGGTGCGGGCGGCCAGCAGCCATGGCCCCGGGACTCAGAGAACAGGGCCCTCTTAGGGTGGGGCTGACGGGGAAACAAAGGCTGTCTGCACCACCCTGAGACTCCACCCCATCCAGGCTGAGCACAGAAGCCCTCCTAGCGGAGACACTGCTGATCCTCACACCCAATTGGCTTGGAAATCAACTCTCCCCAGTGATACTAACAACAAACAAGGCTTAACTACAACAAGACTGCACACACAGCCCACAAAGGGCTGAACCAAGAGTGTCCACCTCAGGTAACTAGGGAAGCTGAGCTACTGGGCCCTGCTAGGACACCTAGCACACAAAGCCACTCCATCAACTCAGGGAAGCAGCGAAAATGCAGAGACAAAGAGGCAGACCACAAATGAAGGAAATGGAGGAAAGCAAAAAAATGGATATAGAGTTCAAAACCACAGTTATGAGGTTTTTCAAGAATTTCCTAGAAAAGGCCGATAAATTAAACGAGACCTTTGAGGATATGAAAAGGGATCGACTAGAAATTAAGCATACACTGACTGAAATAAATATTATACAGAGACCTAAAAGCAGACTAGAGGATCACAAGAATCAAGTCAAAGATTTGGAATACCAAGAAGCAAAAACACTCCTCCTGAAAAGCAAAATAGAATCCAGAAAGTTGAAGACAGTGTAAGGAGCCTCTGGGACAACTTCAAGGGCACCAACATCAGAATTATGGGGGTGCCAGAAGATGAGAGAGCAAGATACTGAAAACCTATTTGAAGAAATAATGTCAGAAAACTTCCCCCACCTGGTAAAAGAAATAGAATTACAAGTCCAGGAAGCACACAAAACCCCAAAGAAGAGGAATCCAAAGAGGACAACACCAAAACACATTATAATTAAAATTCCAAGAGCAAAAGACAAAGAGAAAATATTAAAAGCAGCAAGAGAAAAGCACTTAGTTACCTACAAGGGGGTACCCATGCGATTGTCAGCTGATTTCTCAACAGAACCTATGCAGGCCAGACAGGAGTGGCAAGAAATATTCAAAGTGATGAATAGCAAGAACCTACAACCAAGATTACTCTACGCAGCAAAGCTATCATTCAGAATTGAAGATCAGATAAAAAGCTTCACAAATAAAAAAAAAAAGCTAAAGGAGTTCATCACCATCAAACCAGAATTATATGAAATGCTGAAAGGTATTCTTTAATAAGAGAGAGAAGGTAAAGATAAAAATTATGAACAACAAATACATAACTATCAAATGAATCTAAAAACCAAGGGAATAAAAAATCTGGTGAACAGTATTAACTGGTGAATATAGAATCAGGGGTATAGAAAGGGAGTGGACTGACGATTGTGGGGGAAAGGGGAGTGGGGGTGCGGGAAGAGACTGAACAAATATCATACGCCTATGGATGAGGACGAGGGGGGTGGGAAGGGCAGAGGGTGAGGTAGGAACGTGGAGGGGGAAAAAAGGAACAATTGTAATAATCTGAACAATAAAGATTTATTAAATAAATAAAAAAAGTCTCAAATTGCCCTGGTCAGTGTGGCTCACTGGTTGAGCACTGACCCATGAACCAAGAGGTCACAGTTCAATTCCTGGTCAGGGCACACCCCGAGGTTGTAGGCTTGATCCCCAATATTAGGTGTGCAGAGGCAGCTGATCAAATGTTGCTCTCTCATTGGTGTGTTTCTATCTCTCCCTCTCCCTTCCTGTCTCTGAAAACAATTTAAAAAATATGTATTTTTTTTAAACTCCCAAAAAATTTGCCATGAAGAGATTCAAGTTACTTTCTGGTATCTCCTAAATTATACTTCATGATTATTTACTTATTTTAAAATAAATTTTTATTGTTCATATTATTACAAATGTTCCCCCCCCCCCCGCCCTCCATTGCTCTCCTCCATCAGGTTCCCACCCCACCCTCTGCCCTTTCCCCAACCCCCATTGTCCTCATCCATAGGTGCACAGTTTATGTTCAGTCTCTTCCCACATCCCCCTCTTCCCTTTTCCCTGAGAATCATCAGTTCACTCCCCTTCCATACCTCTGATTCTATTATATTGCACAGTTAATATTGTTAATCAGATTTTTTAAAAAATTTCCTTGGTTTTTAAATTCACTTGTTCATAGTTATGTATTTGTTGTTCATAATTTTTATCTTTATTTACTTTCTCTTCTGAAAGAACCCCCTTCAGCAATTCATATAATTCTGGTTTGGTAGTGATGAACTCTTTTAGCTTTTTTTTTTTTTTTTTAATTAGTGAAACTCTTTATCTGGCCTCCGATTCTGAGTGATAGCTTTGCTGGATAGATTATCTTTGGCTGTAGGTTCTTCCTATTCATCACCTTGAATATTTCTTGCCTTTCCCGAATGGCCTGCATGGTTTCTGTTGAGAAATCAGCTGACAATCGTATAGGTGCTCCTTTATAGGTAACTACCTGCTTTGCTCTTGTTGCTTTTAATATTCTCTCTTTGTCTTTTGCTCTTGGAATTTTAATTATGATTTGTATTCGTGTGGTCCTCTTTGGATTCCTTTTGTTTGGAGTTCTGGGCGCTTCCTGGACTTGTAAGTCTAATTCTTTCACCAGGTGGGGGAAGTTTTCTGTCACTATTTTTTTCAGTATGTTTTCGATATCTTGCTCTCTCTCATCTTCTGGGACCCCCATAATTCTGATGTTGGTTCGCTTGAAGTTGTCCCAGAGGTTTCTTACATTATCTTCAATTTTCTGGATTCTCTTGTCTTCTAGCTTCTGCGGAGGAGTGTCTTCTGGCTCTTTATGTTCCAAATCTTTGACTTGATTCTTGCAATCTTCCATTCTGTTTTTAGGACTCTGTATAATATTTTTTATTTCAGTCAATGTATTTTTTTTTTAATGGATTATTTTTGGTTTTAATGTTACTTAAATAAGAATATAGGAAAAATTCTATTAAATAATACAAATGAACCACAGAGTGAATTTGTAAGACTTTAACAAAGAAGGTCTAGAGGGAAAAAACCCTTTTGGATGAGAATAATATTTATGGACTGAAAACATCCTTGACAATGGTTATTTAAGTTTGAGGTAAATGCAGTAGCTTAATCTTCCAAAATATTTCTTTTGAAAAAAATATTTTTATTGATTTCAGGGAGGAAGAGATTGAAACATCAATGATGAGAAAGAATCATTGATCAGCTGCCTCCTGCATGCCCCTACTGGGGATTGAGCCTACATTCCAGGCATGTTGCCCATGACCAGAATCGAACCTAGGACCCTTCAGTCCGCAGGCCAATGCTTGATCCACTGAGCCAAACTGGCTAGGGCAGTGGTCGGCAAACTCATTAGTCAACAGAGCCAAATATCAATAGAACAACAATTGAAATTTCTTTTGAGAGCCAAATTTTTTAAACTTAAACTTCTTCTAACGCCATTTCTTCAAAACAGACTTGCCCAGGCCGTGGTATTTTGTGGAAGAGCCACATTCAAGGGGCCAAAGAGCTGCATGTGGTTCGTGAGCCACAGTTTGCTGACCATGGGGCTAGGACAAGAATACTTCACATAAAAAGGAACAGAATGTGGAAAAGGATGTTCCAACTATCCTCTCTATTCATACCCCAATTTGCATAGACTGTTCTGCTATTCCTGCCTTTCCTGTTTTAATTTATTCTCAGTGGAACCACTGAGGAAACAGAAATGGTGACAGTGAACCAGATATAAACAATTTCCAATGAAGACCTTAATAAATAGCTTTAAAACAAGCATTTTTAGGCTCCGGCTATTATCCATTGGTAAATACGCATTTGTTGGGTTCTTTTTTTTGGACAGTCAAATCTTGAAAGCTTCAGATGTTGTCCTCCAGAACTTCAAAGTATTTTATTTATTAAAGAAGGGATTTCACTTACCTGCTTTATATTCTGATGGCTATTCTACCAATATAAATTTAGTCTTCATAGATTTAAAAAATATATTTTCATAGCAGTAAGTCTGTATCCATGATTGTGAAGTTTGCTTTCAAGGGAAATTGATGTTCCATCATGAGTTAAATAATTTGTTCCCAAAATAACTTCATTTGAAAGATGTCATAAAGTTCCTAGCTCTATTAAAATTCAAGCCATTCTGTCATGTAAATGCAGTTAGAGGGCAAAATCTCACCACCTTCATGGCAGTCATCAAAAACCGGGCAGAGTCCACAGGGGGCCCGGACCAAGCCTGTAGGTGGGATGATTGGATTGACTGCTCTGTACAATTTCATGTGTCCATCTACACTGCCAACTGTGCCTTCCTTTGCAGCGATGTTAGTCATCTCCACTTTCCCATCATATATGAGTGTATTCAAGATGGTTTCAATGTCCTCCATGGACAACTCTACCTTACTGATCCCCAATTCACAGATATATTCCCACACTTCATGTGATGAAGCAAATGAACTATTTCTTTGTATCATTGGATTCTGTTTGCTTTCTCGGGCTGTTTCTGCCTTGGTTTGTAGGAACTTAAAACACTGTTGGTTAAGCACCTCTACAAATTCAGATTCAAAATCCTGGTCACTGTACCAGGCTCCACCAGTCACAGACCGGTCTGGCTGCAGGTTATAGAGCATATACACCTTTTTCTTTGAGGCTGCTACAGACTTAACAGCTTTGATAAGCTTTTTACTTTCCAAATTCTTTAAAATTTTGTTAATTTCTGTTAATGGCAAATTACTTTTATACCGGATGTCTCTGCTCCATATTCCTTTATTTCCTGCACCCTCTATGATCTGATATACTAGTTTTTCTTGGTTATCTGATCCCTTCATTTTACCAGCATTCTGAGAATCCTTTATTCTATACAGAAGACCTGTATTGCTCCGTAAGAGATCCAACTGACCCATAGACAAGTCTATTGATTGCCACTGCCCGCTGCTAAGCTTCTATATGAGGCATTTCATTTTGAATTACTTGGTCTGTGATTCCATGAGGGAACTGATGACATAATTCTATAATCCTGTTTTCTATTTCTACTGGATCCGAGTCGGGCGGCTGCAGCTTCACCTTCACCTCAGCCAAGAGGACGCGGTTCCTTTAGCAGCGGGATGAGCTGCGCGTATCGGCCGGAGAACCAGCGGTGCCGGGCGATGAACCTTCCTCAGTCAATGTATTCTTTATTTCTTGTTGATCCCTTATCATTTCTTGTTGATTCCTTATTAATTCTAATTGATCCCTTTTCATATCCTCATAGGTCTTATCCATCTTTTCTAGGAAATTCTTTAAAAACCTTATAAGCGTAGATTTGAACTCTATATCCAGTCGCTTTTTGTCCTCCATTTCTTTCGTTTGTGATCTATTTCGTTGTCTCGGCATTTTTGCAGCTTCCCTGATGGGGCGGGGTTTCAGGGTGGAGCCTACAGCCTTGGCTTCCGTCAGCTATGCCCTATGCAGTTCCTGAGTCTCAGTAATCCCAGGGTCCTTCAGTACTTGATGCAAGCACCTCTGAGAGAAAGGTGCCCTCGATTTTCGCCTGCTACCAAACAGTCTAACTCTCCCGCAATGAGCCCGGAACTGGGGTTTTCAGTTGGATCAGTCTGGAGCCCCTGTCTCCTTCCCTCCAGGGCAATCCCACGGCACAGCCAACCGTCCCTTCTCTGCTCGCAATGTGCGTGCCTCAGGGACCTTTTTTCGCCGCTCCCCCAGGGTTCCGCCTTACAGCCCAGTTCCCTATGGATGAGCCTGAGTCCCCAGGGTCTGGCTTAGAACTGGGGTTCAGAGCAGTCGGAACTGGGGCCCAGCACAATCGGAGCTTTTATCTCCTTCCCGCTAGGGAACGCCAGCCAGGCATTCAGCCTCCCTCCTCTCCGGCTCCGTCCTCTCCACGCGCTGCATGTCTCCGTACCTTAGGCTTTTACAGCTCCTCCGTTCTTTCTGGTTTTCTCCTTGCTTCTCGTTGTAGAATTTGCAGTCAGTCGACTTCCCTGTAGTTCTGGATAATGTCCATTTTATATTTTAGTTGTATTTTATTGAAATTGTTGTGTGTGGCTGCGGCTAGGTGCCTACCCGAGCAGCCATCTTGGATTCTCTTATTCTTCATGATTTAATTAAACTAACAGCCTGTGCACTTACTGTAGATCTATGTTTTCCCTTTCAAGTCTATTCAGTCCTCAGGGTCAGCTAAATATCTGATATGATCATGGTATAAGTGAAGAAATTAAAGTCTGTCTGATTCTGAAGTCCCTCAACTAAAAGCTCTGCTCTTCAAGTCACTGACTTTGGGTATGTTAACAAAAGCTTCTGAAACTCAATTGTCCTTACCCATAAAAGAACAACACAGCTCACTGCAAATGGCAGAGATTCACAGAGGACAGAATAAGTGCTTGCTTCCAGATGTTTGTAAGGGACACATGTGGCTTAAAGTCGCAGCAACGACAGATCTTATTTTTTCACCTGGTGTGCTCTCTGGAACCTACAGCCCAGGGAGTGTTAAGCAAGAACAGTCAAACATTCAGTTACCACAACCCCTCAGTTTCTTTCAAGGGATTTTTTTTCTCCACCACTGTTTGCTTCTTTTTTTCACTTTCTTTGCAAACCTCATGGCTTTGTCTACCAGCCATGAGCTCATAATTCTCTTAACTTATAGCTCCAACACAGATTTCTTTCTGTAACTCAAGATTTATAAATCTAACCACTTATTAAATGTCTCTACCTGGATGTCTCTCAAGAAACTTAAACCTAAATTTAAAAAATATATATATTTTATTGATTTTTTACAGAGAGGAAGAGAGAGAGAGAGTTAGAAACATCGATGAGAGAGAGACATCGATCAGCTGCCTCTTGCACACCCCCTACTGGGGATGTGCCCACAGCCAAGGTACATGCCCTTCACCAGAATGGATCCCGGGCCTTTCAGTCCGCAAGCCGACGCTCTATCCACTGAGCCAAACCGGTTTCGGCTCAAACCTAAAATTCTAAAATAAACTTATTTTCTCCCCATCGACTTGTCCATCTTCCTATAGTCCCAATGGCACCAGCATCCATCAAAGACAGAAACATCTAGATTACTTTTATCCCTTTTCCTCCACATCCAAGTCTTGTAGTCCATTCCAAAATTAAGTCTATCTGCATCCCAAGCATGTCAGGCAGTCTCATGCCTTTGTACTTCTTTTTTTTAATTGGGGTGACTTTAGTCAGCATGAACATACAGGTTTCACGTGTGGATTACTAATGTACAAAACCTGTGTATGGGACCATGTGCCCGCCACCCAAAGTCAAATCTTCTTCTGTCCTCTCATATTATAATAGAACCTCTTTCCCCCCCACTCCTCTGGCAGTCACCACACTGCTGTTTGTGTTCATGAGTTTCAGTTTTACTGTGTATTCCACATGAGTTAAGTCATATAGCTTTTAGCTTTGTTAGACTTATTTCACTTCACTTCATGTTCTCAAGGTCCATCCATGTTATTGTGACACTATTTCATCTTTCCTTATAGCCATGTGCCTTTGTCCTTTTAAATACACTGCTCACTCCACCTAGAAACCCTCCACTTCCTTCTTTGCTTGACTAACTTCGCTCATCTTTTAGAATTGAGCTGAAGGATTCTCTCTTCTAGAAAACAAAGTAACTAGCCTTTATTAAGCACACACTGGATTCCAGTCACTGTGCAAAACACTGCATGCACTGTCTCTTCCTCCCTCCTCAAACCTTTTAGCACTTGATACCTCTTCTGCCTCATGTTACCGTTTTGTATACCTTATGACTAGCACTCTTTGATGGCAAGGGACATTTAAAAAGTCCTGAGTAACTGTCCAACAAATAGCTGGGAAATGCGCTGTAATTAAAAGAGCTATTGTTTAGTTGTTGTCCTTTCTCTTATGTAGATTTTTTCCCATCTCTGTTAAACACTAGCCATGGATGGCGAACCATGGTGTCCAAGCCACAAAGGGCTTTCTGATTAATTTATAAAATCTTTCCCCATGGTAGGCACTGGGGGGAAATGCAAACTCGGACTAGTTTCTAAAGAAGTTCAATCTAACAGTGACCCCAAATCAAAATGCGAGGAAACACCGGTGCTCCGTGTGTCGCGTGGCTGCGCGGCGCCGGCCTGTCACCTTTGGGGCGGCAGCCCCGCTCCGGCCGTCACCGCTCCCGCGGGGCGGATGGGGGTGAGGGTCCGGCCCCGTCCGACCCGGGCAAACCCCAGACCCGCAGCTCGGCGCACGCCGGGGGCGTGGCTTTCACCTTCCGACCGCCCGCTCGGCCCCGGGGCTCCCGCGGCGGCGCCAGGCCCTCCCCCGCGCGGGGCCGGTGCTCGCGCCTCCTCTGGGCCGCGGGCTCCTCACCTGATCGGCCGACACCGCCCCCTTCCCCGTGCCGCTCCCGCTGCCTTTGCCCAGGCGACCGCTGCTCTCCGCCATCTTCGCCGCCTGCGGGGCTTCCGGCGCGCAGTGCAGCGCCTGCGTCACTTCCGGCAGCGGGTCCCGCCCACTCGCCGTGGCGCCTCCGCCTCCAGGCCACTGTCCGTGTGGATCCTGCGGGGGATCCTGGGGAACCTCCATGTAGGACCTGCTCCCCGGCCGCCGGCGCGGCGACTTCCCCCTGCGGCGCTGCCCTCGCTCCAGAGCCGCCGCCTGGGGAGGCGGGAGGGCGGCTGAGGGCGCGGGGTGCGTCGGGTGGGAGCCCCTCGGCCCGGGCGGTGAAGACGGGGAGCGGGAAGCTTCTGGGAGACTTTGAGCTGCGGAAGCGCTGGCAGAGGACAGGGCCTGGGGTAAGGCGAGGCTGCGGAAAGTGGAGGTGCCTCCATTTCCAACCCTGTCGCCCTAATTAGAGGGTTCCGAAGACTTGGGGCCTCTCACCGCAGGGCGCTCGTTCAGCCTCACAGGGTGACGAGAAGGCAGGGAATCCTGGAAGTGTGCTCCTTAGGGAAGGGCTGTGCCATTTCTCATCTTCCTCAGGCTCGGCATCGTGGTCAGGCCTCACCACCTCCTGTCCCTGCTGTTCCCTGGCCTGCGGGTACCGCGACTCTCAGTACTTTGTGCTCAGCCCAGGTAACACGTTTGTATCCTCTGTGCCTGACACGTAGTAGGTGCTCAATAAATGTGTGTGAAATGAATGGCGGTGGAACAGTGGGGTGCCAACCACCCACCACCATTTGATGGGTAGGTCATGGTGCCTGTGAGCGCAGAAGCAAAGGGAACCCTTTCTCCTTGAACTTGGGTCTCCCCATGCTGGGAACTCTGAGTTCGACCTGCACCATTCACAGGCCCAGGGCCATGGCTGTCTCCTCTTCCTCCTGGGAACTGCCCCTGGTGGCTGTGTGCCAGGTCACATCAACGCCAGACAAGCAGCAGAACTTTAAAGCTTGCGCTGACCTGGTTCGAGAGGCTGCCAGACTGGGTGCTTGCCTGGCTTTCCTACCTGAGGCTTTTGACTTCATTGCCCGGGACCCTGCAGAGACGCTGCGCCTGTCTGAGCCACTGGGCGGGGACCTTTTGGGAGAATATGCCCAGCTTGCCAGGTATCGGGAAAGGGGGACGGGGTGTCACTGCTTTGCTGGGCCTTGTCCCTGGATTGCCAGATGTGAGGGTGGAGCCTTGGAAAGAGTGCCAGAGTCCACTCCCACAGGGAATGTGGACTCTGGCTGTCCTTGGGTGGTTTCCACGAACGTGGCCAAGACTGGGAGCAGACTCAGAAAATCTACAATTGTCATGTGCTTCTGAACAGCAAGGGTGAGACTTCACAGCTCTTTGGCTTGCCTCTTCCCAGGCTCTTCTACCTAGACAAAGATTCTCCAGAATTGGGTCTTCCCAACTGTTTCCTTGGCCAAGGGGTGCTCCTTGGGAGGAGGAGCTAAGGTGGGCTTCTGGGGCACCAGCACCAATATTCCTTCTCCGCTTACTCTAGGGTCCATAGTGACCACTTACAGGAAGACACATCTGTGTGACTTGGAGATTCCAGGGCAGGGGCCTATGCATGAAAGTAACTCTACCATGCCTGGGCCCAGTCTGGAGTCACCTGTCAGCACACCAGCAGGCCAGGTGGGAGCTGTGGAGGGGGAGGGGGGATATGAGGGAAGGAGGGGACAGGAACAGAGACGGGACACTCTTTTTATCCCAGCTCGGTCTGGCTATCTGCTACGACATGCGGTTCCCTGAACTCTCTCTGGCACTGGCTCAGGCTGGAGCAGAGATACTTACGTATCCTTCGGCTTTTGGAAGCGTGACAGGCCCAGCCCACTGGGAGGTAAGAGGACCTCTTCAGAACATGCAGGCTTTCCTTTAACGTCACTCATTCCCTCGGCCCTGCAAGTTAGACTTTCTCCCCCTTCCCACCCAGTGAGAAAATTCATTCCCCAAATTATTGCCTAACTCTATATTAAGGAATAGTTAATCCCAAATCATTTCTAGCCAATTTCAGAATGATCACAGTGGTCGGCTGCCTGCTGCTCCCCGCCAGCTGCCACACTTCTCCCCCCAGGTGCTGCTGCGGGCCCGCGCCATTGAGACCCAGTGCTATGTAGTAGCTGCAGCCCAGTGTGGACGCCACCACGAGCAGAGAGCGAGTTATGGCCACAGCATGGTGGTGGACCCCTGGGGAACAGTGGTGGCCCGCTGCTCGGAGGGACCAGGCCTCTGCCTTGCCCGGATTGACCTCAGTTACCTGCGACAGCTGCGCCAACATCTGCCTGTGTTCCAGCACCGCAGGCCTGACCTCTATGGCCACCTGCGTCACCCACTGTCTTAGGACTTCGACTTCTGTGAGTTGAGACCCACTGTGAGCTGGTGTTGCTGTTACTTTGAGGCAGGACCAGGTGCACCTCCCCCTCCCTTGGGGAACCTTGACTGTTGAAGGAATATATGCTTAGCTTCTTGGGAAAGAAGAAACTCACCTGAGCTCAGATTTCAGTTTCAAAAATGTGGAATTTCATATACTGTTTATTTCATGAAAACTAAAGTTATGCTGAGGGCTGAGCAGCACTGGCATTGAGAAAAATATCATCATAAAGTGTGTCTGGACATCTCCTTTGGGAGCTGAAAGGGGAGGTGGTGACTGGTTGCGGCGGATTCCACCTGCGGTGCTTCCCTTCACAGATGGACCCCTCCCTTTCCTGGTCCAGCTGGACTCGGCTCCGGTTCTAAGCCTCCTGGCTCATTTCATTCAACAAGCTCCTACCCAGATAAAAGTGCAACACTCAGTGCATGTCCCAGCCCCGTGCTCCCAAGGGAGGGATGGACAGGGAAGGACCTGTAATGCCCTTTGCCCAAGCCAGCAGCAAGCAAAGGGGAAGGGCTTGGGGCATCCATGTCCACTCCCTAGCACACATGGAAGGAAGTGTCTCCCCCGCCCCCCCCCGCCCCCCCCCCCCCCCCCCCCCCGTGCTGTGCACACACCACAGCTGGGAGGGCTGATGGGACTGACCTAGTCCTCTCCTAGCTTCCCCTGAAGAGGGACAGACACCGCCCGCCCCCCAGGGCGGGAGGGGCGGGGGAGGGGAGAGGAGCCATACCACGCAGGTTTCAGCAATGAAATGGAAGAAACCAGGCAGAGGAGCAGCACCAGAGGACAGGAGAAGAGTTGAAAGGGCCACAGTTTCTTTTTTAAAAAGTCTATAATTTGGGAGAGGGTGGTGATTAATTTCCAAAATACACTTCAGAGTCTCACCTTCCACACAACACAGCTCCCTTACTCACAGCCCTTTGGTTTTTCAGACAAAATGTAAGAGCCCCATAAAGCCAGAAGCACTGACAGCCCCTCAACACACCCGGACGCAGTGTTCCCTTCAGTCCCTCAGACTGTCCTACAGACTGCTTCTCCCTACACACCTGTCTCACGGCTCAGTAGTAAAGGTGGCTGCAGACACATGGGGGGTGAGTGGAAAGGGAAACAGGGAAGCCCAGGCACATGGGTGTAGGGAGGGGTGGGAGACACCACTTCCATTTTCCTTTGTCTTTTCCTTAAAAAAAAAAAAAAAAAAAAAAAAGGCAGGGGTGTGATTGGTTGGAAGGGGAGAAAAAAAAAACCCCAGGACAGTACGTCCGCTCCAGAGGTGAGTGATGGGCCCAGTCCCCAGAGGGAAGGTCAGGGCAAGGCCTGCAGCATCAAGTTCCTCAGGAGTTTCTGTCGGCCCAGCTCGTAGTCCTCCTCGTCCACGTTCACCAGCAGCTTGATGGCTTCGTGGCCCACAGCCTGCTTAAGCGAGTCTGTGATGAAGACGCCTTTCAGTGCCTCCAGGAGCGAGCCGTTGATGTAGTCGCGCCAGAATGCGTCGAGGTAGGTGAGCTCAGAGAACTTGATGTCACAGATGATGGAGCCCAGGTCCCGGGACTTGAGGATGGTGTTGGCCTGGTTAAAGCGCTCGAACTGGCGCTCCAGTGGGTCCTGCTTGTTGGAGAAGACGTTGCCCTGCAGAGCAGTCTCGTGCTGGCAGTACTCGGCCCGGACCCGCAGCCTGATGTCTGCGGGGAGAGAGGCGCCGTGAGGGTGAGTTTGTGAGGAAGATGAAAGCAGCAGCAGAGGAACAAAGTGGGAGCATCACCTGACAGGTCCCCCCCGCTCTTCTCCAGGCTCCTGAGCGCCCTGATGCAGGAGGCTCCCTTACCCAGGCCACGCCCAGGTCACAGCATCCCACCCCTCAGGGAGCACCTTGTTTCTGGGACGTCTTTTCCTGGTTAGTAGGCAGTCATTCTCACGCTACCATGATACCAGGATGTGGTTCCTCCTACAGCACAGAGGTCATGACCCGTCCCTCTGACCTGGTGTTAACTACAAAGAGTTGACAAGTGCTCTGCCACCAAGACAGAGGAATTCTCAACCCCTCAGGGCCACCACTCAAACCTCACTGTAACAGCACCAACGGGAGCCTGGCACTGCTGAGTGTCCCTCTGGGACCCTTGAACTTCTCACCACACGTCTGCTTTTCCTTAGGATCTGGTGTCACTGACTTTCGGCGTTTTCGCTGGCTCCCAAGTGTGGCTCTCCCTCGAGCTGGCCTCTTGCTACACATCTGAGGGCCTGAAGTGGGGCAGCACACCACAGGATAGTGAGGAGGCACTGACCAGGAGAAAGGGGAGGAGACAGTAGGGTAAATGCTCAGACACTTCTGTGGGAAAGAATCATACAAACTTAGCAGGAAACGCAGTATCCACAATGTGACCTACAAGGACACGTGGCCACAATCACAGGACCCAGGGGACATGACAATGCCTCACCTCATTTTTAAAAAAGTAGCCCATAATCCAACCCTTGGCTGGAATCAAACCCAGGACCCTTCAGTCCGCAAGCCAACGTTCTATCCACTGAGCCACACCAGCCAGGGCTGCCTCATCTCATTTTTATGTGTTTATGGAGGAGGGCAGGGTCCTTTCATTAAAGTGTGGCCATGATGGGTTTGGTGTCCTCTTGAGAAGGGACACTAGGGGATTTAATACCCACTCACCTGTTTTAGGGGGCTGGGGAGGCCTTGGTTCTGGATCACTGAGGGCTCTGGGGGTCACGTAGCGAATCGATGTCTCCTCCAGATACTTGTCTACAAGGTCAGGGCACACTGTAGGGGGAGAGGGAGTCATTGGGAAGATGTACTCCTTCCTTCTCCTGATCCAACCCTCCAACAGGCCTCATAACAGTCCTGGACACCCCCAGAGCCAATGCCGCCTCCCGCTGGGCCTCCAGCCCAACGCCTAAGTCCCCAGCCCCGTGCCCTCACCAGCCCGCCTCCTCTTGAGGGTGACGTAGGGCAGCAGGTCGTGGCGAGTAATGATGCGCAGCAGCTGCAGCACTTGGCGGAAGTTTGTCTCATCACAGCGGCCCTGGCGCTCAAGCGCCAATAAGAAGTCACGTCCATTTCGGATGAGGCCACGCTCATGGTCATCAATGACATCGACAAAGAGGAAGGAAAGAACGCGCACATCTCTGTGTGTCAGGTGGGTGCCCACGATGTCAAACATGCGGTGCAGGCTGTACAGTCCGTGCTCCTGCTCGCCGTGCTCTTCTGGCCACACCTGGCTTGCCCGTCGCTTCAGCCCCGCCATGCTGGGGGCTCAGGTGCGCAATGCTTCCCAGAATCCCTGCTTGGCAGCTGCGATCGCCACTACACTATAAGGACACAAAAGACCCTGTGAGCCCATCAATGGCAAAAACTGGTCTTATTCATTCCTACATTCCCAGTGCTAACAATGCCTGGCAGTGTAGTGCTTAGTAAAGATTTATTTAAAAACTAGACACCCAGTGCACGAAAATTCAAACATGGGTGGGGGGTCGTCCCTCAGCCTTGCCTGCCCCCTCAGTCCAGGAGCCCTTGGAATGTACTTCTGCAGGCTTAGGCCCGCTCCCTTCTGCAGCCTCCGGCTGCCTTCCCACAGCCATCGCAGCTTTGTCGAGAAGGACATCCAAAGGTCTAATTAGCATATTATGCTTGTTATTATAGATAAAGCCTAGAGCTCCGCATACAACAGATGGTGCCCAAAGTCCCAGATTCTATTGGAGAACTATTGATAGAGTCACTTCGCCTGGGTGAGAATATTCTACGCCATCTTGGAGTTACCCAGCAGGAGTAGCTATTAGCTATCACCCTAATTGTTGATCCCACTCCCCCACCCCGCCTCCAAAATACTACTCTTGGTTCTTTGTGCTCCGCCCTAATCAGTTCATCTCTTAAATGTAGCCAAAATTGAGCAGAAGTAGAGAATTCACTCTTTAATAAGGAAACTGTAGCAGATGAACTTAGGAACAGTAGGAAACTGAAAACCTTTAGGGTGAGAACTATTTCCAATTCTGCCTACTACTCAGACTCCTAAGAAACCAATGAGATAATACAACTGAAATAACTTTGTAAATCGTTGTGAAAGAGATTCAAAGAAATAAGCATCCTCGCCCCTCCATAGCTCATGTTGGAATGTAGACTTATGAACTAGGAGGACACAGTTCGATTCCCGGCCAAGGCACATGTCTGGGGATACAGGCTCAATCCCTGGTGTGGGGCATACAGGGAGCAGCTGATCCATGATTCTCTCTCCTCATTGATGTATATATCTTGCTCTCTCTTCCTCTCTGAAATCAATAAAAATATATTTAAAAAAAGATAAGAAATAAGCATCCTAGCCCAGACTCATCCTTCCATAAATGTATCTATAGGTTTCCTATAATCCAACCAAGCCCAGAAGTATAACTGCTTGAAAGGTTAATGAATAATATTCAGTAAAATTCATAGACTTAAACCCGGAAACATTATTAAGCTCCTATGTTGAGCACTCTTGTAATTCTCCTATTCTACCTGTGCCCCCTTGATGGGCAGATGCCATTTGGATATGCTGTCTTCCAGCCTGGCTGTCATTTACCAACCCCCTGTGAATGACCAGTGACAGCCCTACTCTTTCTTTAGTTTGGCATTTGACTCAGAAAGTTCCTCCATCATCCTGGGTAATGTCAAGGACTCAGCCAACAACCAGCCTTCAGGTCAAACAGCGTTCACCTCCACTCTAGTTGCTCATACTCATTGCCCCCTTCTGACCAAAACCTCCAACCACCCCATCATTATGCACTCCTGTTGATACTACTTCTAATTATGTCTTAAATCTGCCTAACCTTTCCACTTGCACTGCCCTGGTTCAGGCCCCAATAACCTCTCACATGGACTCCTGCAACAGCCTCTCTTATTTTAAATATATTTTTACTGATTTCAGAGAGGAATGGAGAGGGGGAGACAGACAGAAACATCACTAATGAGAGAAATCTTTGATTGGCTGCCTCCTGCACACCCCTTATTGGTAATCTAGCCCAAAACCCAGGCATGTGCTATAGAAGCTCAACCACTAAGCCACACTGACCAGGCCGCAGAATTCACTTTTCATTCTCTAACAATATTAGTTTGTTTATAGTTTACATACATATACTTCACTTCTCTGTACCTTCCTTCCTATTCCACTTCCCTGTCACCGACCTTTCTCAGATGGCTAACTCCTACTCACCCTTAAGAGTCAACTCAAAAGAAAAAAGGCAGCTCAGATGCCATCTTTAAATTTAGTCCCTACACCTCATGTTGGGATAGTCCTCTTCTGTGCTCCCTGAAACACTGCATGTTCCTGTAAGCCATTTATCAGAGTGTACTAGGATTATCTGTGCACTTACTATCCACCAGAGGCCCTGTACACAAAATTCATGAATGGATAGGGTCCCTAGGCCTAACCAGCAATCAGGGCCAATTTGTGGGGTGATCAGTGGGGCAATTGGTGGAAGGAGGGTGAGAGGGGGGCGTGCTGGCACCCGCCTTGGCTGGCCTGAGGCCTGTGGGCAGCACCAGCGTTGTCTGCCCCCCGGTGGTCAGTGCGCATCATAGCGACTGATTGTTCCTCCATTCTGTTGATTTGCATATTAGGCTTTTATTACCGTATTCCCGGCGTATAAGAGGATCCCCTAATTTTACAGCTAAAACATAGGTTTATGCCTATATTCGCTGTATAAGACTACCCCCCACTTCCGAGGCAATACCAGTTCTTTTTTTAATAGACTGCCTCTCTGACTCTGGCCAATCTGAACAGGCTTTTTACTAGAACTCAGTGTCGTCTTATACGCCGGAAAATACGGTATGTAGCATTAGATCTTCAGCAACTCATGTAGAGGGACTAAGTTATATTCATCTTTATATCACCAATGCCTAGCAATGGAGTCTGGCACCCAGATTAAACTTCATCTCCAAGAGATCATCACAAGCGATACCCATTAAGAAACAAACTCAAATAAGTCCAAGAGTGAGAAGACCTCATTAAAAATAGATACATGCAAGTCAGTTACCATGCATGTATTCTAGCTAGCAGCTATAGCCTCCCTACACTGAGACCTACCCAGTCCACAGCACCCGCTCGCCCGCAAGATAGGTGGGTCTGTCCATTCCATAGAGCAAGAAATGGAGTCTAGCTTAAGAAACAGAGTAAGTCCTAGCTGGTGTGGCTCAGTGGATAAACCCTGCAGACTGAAGGGTTCCAGGTTCAATTCCAGTCAAGGGCACATATCTAGGTTGTGGGCTCAATCCCCAGTAGAAGGCATGCAGGAGGCAGCAATCAATGATTCTTTTTCATCATAGATGTTTCTATCTCTTCCTCTCCAAAATAAATAAAAAATTTTAAGGTGTGTGTGTGTGTATATATATATATATGTATATATATGTGTGTGATATAGTAAAAGCATAATATGCTAAATAGAGCAGGCGTCCCTCCAAATGATCTTCCAGACAAAGCCAGGTCCCGAGTGCCAGAAGAAAGTTGGTGCTGGCAACTGGGATGGGGGTGGGGGTGGGGCCTACTCTTGCATGAATTTCGTGCATCAGGCCTTTAGCATTAAAAAATAAACTGCTTCTTGCCGAGACCGGTTTGGCTCAGTGGATAGAGCGTCAGCCTGGGGACTGAAAGGTCCCAGGTTCGATTCTGGTCAAGGGCATGTACCTTGGTTGCGGGCATATCCCCATGGGGGGTGTGCAAGAGGCAGCTGATCGATGATTCTCTCATCGATGTTTCTGACTCTCTATCCCTCTCTCTTCCTCTCTGTGAAAAATCAATAAAATATATTTAATAAATAAATAAATAAAATAAACAATAAACTGCTTCTTGCCGAAATCGGTTTGGCTCAATGGATAGAGTGTCAGCCGGCGGACAGAAAGGTCTCGGGTTCAATTCCGGTCAAGGGCATGTACCTTGGTTGCAGGCACATCCCCAGTGGGGGGTGTGCAAGAGGCAGCTGATCAATGATTCTCTCTCAATGATGTTTCTAACTCTCTATCCTTCTCTCTTCCTCTCTGTAAAAAATCAATAAAATATATTTTAAAAAATAAAAAATAAACTGCCTCAGAACAGCCAAACTGATGAGTTCTCAGAAAACTAAAGAGCAAGCAGAACTTTACCTCTCTGCCTCAGTAATCCTAAACTAGAAGCACAGAGACTCACCCACTTAAGAAAAGTGAAGTCAATGCTGAAATCACTTAGCCCCAAACCTTGGGTTCTGATATGTGGACAGGAAATACAGCCCATATCCACTTAGGAGATACCGCACCTGAAGCATGGGAAACAGCTGGGAAAACAGCTGTTCACCTACAGACCACATTCCCGTGTCTCTTCCTCTCTTGTTTTACCTGATGCAGTCTCTAGGTACAGGACTGAATGAAAACATCTTCTTGCTTATACCAGGCAACATGGAAAAGCCAAGCCACCTCAAAACCCCTACAACTTTGTTCTCTATCCCACCTGGTCCCTGTGGCCACCTGCTGACTATGATGATCCCAGAAAAGCAGGTGGACAGGTTTCACATTCAACCAATCAAAAGGCCAGGTTGCTCCAGAGCTCCCTAACTCAGTGTCCTGACTTAAACCTTAGGAAATGAAGAAATACTGTCCCACATAACAGCTACCGGAATATTAGGCAGAATATAGGAAAGCACTGTGGTCCTAATTATTCATCAATGGATACAATTCTATAATAGACCTCAATGATCTGAGGGTTAACTCCTTACATTTGAGGGGGAAAATAGCCACTTTTCAGTTCTACATTCAAACATCATTTAAGGTCTCTAAAATTATCAGTTTCAAAGTCAGTGGTTCTAAATCGGGGGCGATTTCTCCCCGCCCCCGGGGGGCATTTAGAAATATTTGGAGACATTTTAGATTGTCATATGGTGGAATAAGGGAGTGTTACTGTCAAGGAGTGAATAGAGGGTCATGGATGCCGTTAAGCAACTACAATGCACAGGAGAGTCCTCCATTACCAAGAATTATCTGGCCCAAAATGTCAACAGTGCTGGGAATGAGACCCTGCCCTATAGGGAGCGTGATAACAGCAGGTCACTTTCCACCCCAGATCTGGAGAAGAAAGCCACTGGTCCTTCTGACCCAAACCCATTAAACAGTATTCCACAAGAAAAGGAAAGCCAGGCAGGCAGACTCTTAATACCTCAGTCCACTGGCACTCAGAGTTCTATCTCACTCCGCCTCGATCTCTCCCACCTGCTGTTGCCATTCAGGTGAACAGCAGGTGGGAGGGTGGTACTC